TTCAGGGCATTCCGCAGGCGACAGTAAGTAAACAAAGGCATATGTCACAAAGTCGATTAAATTATTATGAATTTTAGACGGTAGAAGTTCAAAGGGACAATGTTGTACGTTAAGTTAAGATTATGATTTATATCGTTGCATAATCGATAGTATTAATGAATCAACAATAGTAGTGCATGAATAAAAAGTTAATTGCTGCAAACGATGATTCAATGTGTAAGTGTAAACATGATGTTCGTAAAGTGACCGACGATGGAATGCAATTACTATCATGTGAAAGCGGTGGACGTATGTGCTTTTGTTCTACCGCTTTAATAGAGCGTGTGCCAAATGACAACACGGCGTAGTGAAACACTAGTCTATCCAAACTAAAACGCTAATGACGACGAATCAGGTTACAATACTTTCGATCGTAAATCGCTCGTCTTATTAGGGAAGGGCAGATGGGTGGTAGTAACTAGTGACTTGTGTTGTTTATGATTGGTACCGTTCTCATAGATGGCCAGCTTCTCTTGTATTGCAGGTGCGGTTTTACGAGTTCTGGCTTCGCACATCGCGGGACGGATGCGCCGAGCGACGTCAACTAAATGCCTCCATCCATACACTCCATAGAAGCCGAGCAACGTGTCAGGGCCACCTAACAGGATTAACTTACCTGTCCTAGTGCGCAGGTAAACTAAACTAGTCATCAGACCGCAAGACGCCTTAACCGGCTTAAATGTTTGGTTGGATTTTGAAGAGAACAGAGAGTGAACTTTTATGTGACCTTTATAGGCCAGGTGTCCAGTTACAAAAAAGTAAATAAGCATCAAAATTGGTTCTGTGAATAGCAAAGTTGTTTCCTTTACTGTTAAATTCATATGTGCATTTATGTTAATCACAAAAGAATAATTACCGGAAGATTTCTAGGAAATACCAATTTACCACTTCAATTTGTTTAGCTCCAATCAATTAACTACTAACTTATGACTTGAATCTTCGATCAATTGTAGTTCATGGAAGAGTTGAATAGTCAGAGTAAGTAGGGCCTAATTGTTATGATTTAGTAAATCCTACTTGTATTGATATTTTAAATAAATGCTAATTAAAATTAAAACAATGCTAACCAAATCAACAAATATTAGTAGCACGAATAGTTTTTAGATTTCCCATAAATATATATGCTGTTGGTATTATGTGAACGTAATTAATATTGGATAGATGATCCGTTTAGTGTTTGCTCGATTACAACATGAGTAAATAATATATAATCCACCATCGTGGAAGCAGGTGTAAAGTTATAAAGATGACTGCGTCATATAATACCGTGCTTTTCTTTTGAAATGTTTGCCTAGAGTTCGTATGTAGATAAACCTTCTGTTACATAAATTGATTTGTTTTTTATTAACAACTAGCGGCCCGCCCTCGCTTCGCTTCGGTGTAGAGCTGAAGCGTAGACTACAGTTTTTGTTCTCAGGCTTGTTTTATACACAATGACATTCATCTATGATTATTCTTATACCAGCATGCAAAGTTTTAGGATTTAGGTACACACTTTTCTTTAAAAAGCTAACATTCTTCAAATGTGCTATTCTGCGTTCATAGGTACTTCAAACAAACGGAGAATTCGAGGATTTTACCCATACGTGTCGTGTCGCGAGGTTGGAAGTATGGTTGGTAATTTTCAATCATAAAAGTGAAAGCAGGTTTCAAAATAAACAGAAAAAATATAAACTCATAAGCATTAACCTTTAAAGGAAACTTCCTTAATAATTTTAAATTCTGTCTGTACTCGTGAAAAATCATACTCCAGAAAAAAAACACTCACTATTCATGTTTTCTTTTCAATGTTTTTTTCATCATAGAAAAAAAACAGTTTTATGCATGTCTAGATAGGACTTGTATAATTCTAAAAAAAGGAATAGGTATAAATTTGATTGATCCATTTTACTATAAAATCGATCACAATCGCAATTAGAATGAATGTGAATTTATCTCCAGAAATAGAGATTTAACTATTGTTACATTTTACTCTTTCAGTAGTGCAAAGCAAAGTGGATTTTCCACACAAAAGAAAACACAACCAGAAGAGAAGAATTTAGCCAAAAATACTTAAAACGAGATCGAGAGGTAGAGGTAGGATACCTAAATGTAATTTCTGAAAGTATTAAATTAATATTTCACTGCGGTATTTTATTTGAGGTGGTGGTTACATTGCATTGCCCAACAGGGGCTTCATTTCGAGCGTTAATCCGCTGTGACTTATCTCACATCAAAAGTGTATTTAAACTAAGAATAATACGATACGATATCAAAATAAAATTTAACCATAAAAAAATCAACATCCTAGGCATGCAGCCTTTACTCGAAACTGCGCTTAATAGGTGAGTATATCAAACATTTTGAAGCTTAAAAATATATTTTAAACAAAAATGGTTTTTACACGCAGGCTAAAATAGAACCAATATCTTTGTTTCTTATCATCGTTCTTTAGATATAGATTTGTAACAGTTAAATAGTTAAGTAAATTTTGATAAAAATAGTGCTATCCAATTTCTATGGTTACGTAGGAAATAAAGGTAATAAATTCGAATAGCTAGGCTAGCAAGATCGCTACGCAAATTACTGTGTATTTTGTCGCTACTATCGGTCATTAATATTTTTTTCAGTAAGTCGTTTCAAATTAATAAGACGCTCTTAAAACATACTAATGTGAAAATTACTTAATTTAAAAATATTGATGAATTTATAGGCGGTGTATAGTAAGGTCTGAAGATATTATGGCTTGTTGAGTGGAATACCTAATAAATAACCTTTTTATCTAATAAAATATGTACTTTATATCGATTTACCGTTTCTTCACATACGTACGCACCAAAAAAGTAAGAGGGTTTATATTTCATTGTCTAAATATCGTTTATCTGATAAAGTAATACTTGACGCGGGCATAATATTATAACCAGTTTTTAATTATTATTTTTTCGTTTACTTACCTCAAAGACAATTATTTTTAATCCGACGCCAATATTTCAATATTGCGAATAAGATCACTAAATAACCGCAATAATTACTAGATTAATCGCTTTACGAAATACAATGTTTTTTGTCGTAAATTTACGTAAACACGCGTCGTTTCACACAAACACGACACCAACATGCAGAACACCTTCACTCGATTTGATTGATAAACAAAACTTCCGCTTCTTGCAGCGCGCGCACGCTAGTGTTACTATAATAAAAAAATGTAAGTAGTATAGTAACTTACAGTCTGTCAATAAAGTCATAAAATAATGGTTTTGTTGGTACTGGCACCACCAAATTGCTGCAGCTCAGTACTTTAGTGCTGCCAGACTGAAACGGACTGTTTTAAGAGCGATGCGAAGCAGGTCATATTTAAAGTTTTTTTTTTACTGAATTTCATGGGAAGGTCGTTTTTTAAATAAGCTATTTGAAACTTTTTGGAAATATGTTTTAAATGGTTAATAGGTAATTGTTCTATTAGACCAAAAACAATGTATTGTATTTTTTTTAACCTACAAAGCTACAAAACTTTAATTTTAAAATAGATTTTTCATGGACATAAAAAACGCTGTCAGCCATTTTAGTTTATAGATTATCTATGCTATAAAACTACTGTTAAAAAAGCCACAGTAATACGACAATGACGTTTAGTTGTTTACAAATTTTATGACGTCACAATCATGATGGACAGCGTTTAAGTGTTTAATAAGCATAGACTAAAAAAATATTTTTTAATTTAAATTACTACAGCCATCTTCTAATTTTATAAGGTGAAATCGATATATTTAAGTTCCCCATACCAAAAAACGAAATAAACATTTGTATAGTGCAATTTGACATGAGTCAACTAGCCTATTTTACGAAATTTACAGTCAAACAGCAAAGCTAATCGATAACCGGTAAGTAAAAGTTCATAAATTAGGGAACCCTATTCCAATGACCATCAAATGATTTTTTTTTATTGAGAATTACATCTTACTTGTTATATTTATTACAAAACTTAGAAGCCTATGTAAATATAATATATACAATTTTATTTGGTAGCTACTTACTTGTCTCGTGAATTCATGGTTTCATCGCTGTGTTTGGTGCCCTAAAATAATTATTGTTATTTTTTTTAAGCTAAGTATTTAAATGTATAATGCATTTGAATCCTTGGTTTGAAGGGAAAGAAAGTATTATCTAAAGAAGAATAATATGCACTTAAATTACATTTTTTGCACCTTTTCCTATTTTTGAGATGTTTTATTTTTTATAAATAAACTAAGGATAACGGTGTTGATTGTTCAATTAGTAAGTTGATATCAATTTCTTTGCTATCAAAATTTATTGTACAGATGTTTGTTTTCCTAGATAAAAAAAAATGTTCTGTTGAGGTTAACAAATTTACGAACAACGCATACTACGCCCTACAGATTTGATACTTTCGTTATTTACTAAATAAATTTTGAAAATTTATTTAATGAATAAACTATTAAAGTTGTTTTGAAAAGTTAAAGCAGCCTAATGGCAAAAAATGTGATGCTATAATTAGTATGATCACATTTTTGGTAGGTAATCCTTTCAATAAAAGACACTAAAGTGCTTAAAATTTATATTAATTAAGCAATGGTAAGATACAGTCCTTAATTAGTGGTATTTGATGTCGAAGGAAGAAATTCAACATTTTCCACAAGAATCACAAGATTAAGATGCTCTAAATAAATCAAAACCACTCAACAACAACCTAACAACAGACTCAAAACAACGGCAAACAAGTTAAAAAAATACACGAGCCTAGTGACGCGCGAAGAATATGAAAATGACAGATACCAACGGCAGCCGTTTCTTTTTATCATGGTTGCCGGCTCCGGCATCGGCAGAGGAGTCACTGCCTTTATTTTAACACGATGGACTAGTATAATAAATAAATAGCGAAATAGTTGGCCCATGCTTAACACAGTAGCAGTTGACTCAGCCAATTGGCAACCCTGTTTTTAATGTCATTGCCAGTGTATATATATTAATCTATGGTCATTGTCAGATTGACGTGTCAAGGTAACACACCGCCGCACCGATCGCCAAAAAATAAAAACCCCAAAAAATCTGAAATAATAAAATTTTTCGTTTCTATAAATCTGTTTCGTGCAGATAATACGAATGGGGTACAAATTTTTGAAACTTGCTTCCTCTCAATACCGGGTAAGCTACATTAATATTAGCATATTTTCTCAATACCCAAAGACTTCAGTGTAAAAATTTGACAACCGTTATGCAATAGTATTGCCTAGCTGTAGCCCAATTAGACCTATTTTTGTATGTATTATTTAATGTCTATTTGAACCGTGATATGTTTTAATAAATTTAACTGTCGCAGTTAGTAAGTTCATTATCTCCTTAACATGTTTCGTTGACCTTCAAGCATGTGACCGCAAGCGATCGAATTCATTTTACCAGCATTTTTGTAAATTATAAAAATTCATGTATTTCAGAGTGGAGGAGTGAGAATTATCGCCAGGCAATACTCAACAACCCATGATGCTGATTTAGTGGTGATCGGTGCAGGACCTGGAGGATATGTTGCAGCCATCAAAGGTGCCCAAATGGGCATGAAGGTTGATATTCATCTTTTAAAAACCTCAAATTTGTTACAAATTATTTTAAGTCATTTTAGTTATTGCAAACAAATATACAGTATGTATTTCATTGCAGGTTGTTTCAGTAGAGAAAGAACCGAGTTTGGGTGGCACATGTCTCAATGTTGGCTGCATCCCCTCCAAAGCTCTCCTTCACAACTCTCATCTCTATCATATGGCTAAACATGACTTTAAACATCGTGGTATTGAAGTTGGCAATGTTACCTTTGATTTCAAAGCCATGATGGACTACAAAGAGAAAGCTGTGAAGGGCCTAACTGGAGGCATCGGCATGTTGTTCCAAAAAAATAAGGTTTGGAAATATAATTTGTACCTATATGTTTCTACACCTGCGAAATAAACATTAAAAGTAAACATTAATCTTATAAAATTCATGAATATCGCATAGGTAGGTGTGATGTAATCAAATTGAGGACAAGTATAAATAAATTATAGACTAATAAGGACAGTAAATTACATAGTAATACAAAATTAACATTGTGTGGACATTGTTATTAAAGACTGATCACAAAAACTAATTTAGGTAATCAGCCAAGTGTAATTCTGAGTCTCACACAAAAGGTTCTGTACTATTGTACATTTTTTACTTTCTTGTTATAGCAGCAATATTTAGACAGATTCCTTGGTGTGAAACATGATACATAACATCTAATACATATATAAAATTCTCGTGTCACTGTGTGCGTAATTGAACTCCTCTGAAATGGCTCGACTGGTTTTCGTGAAATTTTATATGCATATTCAGTAGGTTTGAGAATCGGACAACATCTATTTTTCATACTCCTAAATGTTAAGGGTGGTCCACGCTTATTTTTTTTTGTTTTTGGTCAAATTTTTTTATTTTTATTTTATTACGATTCATCATACATATTCATATGGCGATACGAAGTTCGCTGGCTCAGCTAGTAATAATATAAAATTTATTAAAAAATAGAATTATTTCTGCAGGTTCAACTTCTTCGTGGTGTGGGTTCCCTTGTAGCACCAAACAAAGTGGAGGTGAAGGGTGAAAAGGGAATAGAAGTTGTAAATACAAAAAATGTCATTCTTGCTACAGGCTCTGAAGTCACCCCATTCCCTGGTGTTCAGGTTAGTTGGTGTATTTCTTATTTAAAAATAAATATTTTGCTTCCAATGGATAAATTAATATTTCTAGTTTCGCCAGAACAGGAGATAATGCTTTGGGATGTACTTTGAAATTTAATATTTTCTTTAGTTCAATACTGTTCTAAAATTATAACTTATCAGTATAATTGGATCCATATCCCCATAGCAAGCTTATAAAGCTTTAGTCAGTGACTTTAATTAACTGATGTCTTCTGTAAAGTGGAGGATATTTACCAAAAAGTGGGCTCTAATTCTATTGAAAAATATGCTTTGCCCATCTACATAAAATGATAACAGAATTAATTTAAATAATGTTATTTTCAGTTTGATGAAAAGCAAATCATTTCATCTACTGGTGCTTTAGCACTACAATCTGTACCTAAAAGAATGTTGGTCATCGGAGCTGGAGTTATTGGTCTGGAGTTAGGCTCTGTATATCAAAGATTGGGTTCTGATGTTACTGCTATAGAGTTCCTAACTTCCATTGGAGGTACACCTCATTTTCTATTTATGTTTTTTCTTTCTACATTCTTTTATAAGTATATATCATACATCATTTTTATTGACAGTTTTGATTAGATAGGAATTGCAGTGAATTTTTATATGTTGTATTTAAAAATATGATACTTTGATTATAAATTCTGTAAATTTAAATAGCTATCTCATTTGTCTGCATAGAGTAAATATTCATTCCATGTTAGCCTGTGCCTAAAAAACTTACCTACACACAAAAATAAATAAAAATCAATCAGTAGGTTAGTATGACAGTTTGCCCAACAGGTGATAGACTAGCTACTTTCGCATTTGTAATATTAGTATTGATAATCCATAGGTGTTGGCATCGATGGAGAAGTAGCAAAATCTCTCCAGAAGATTCTTGGAAAGCAAGGCTTGAAGTTCAAACTTGGCACAAAAGTGTTAGCAGTTAGAAAGGAAGGTGCCGTAGTTAAAGTTGATGTGGAAGCAGCTCAAGGTGGCAACAAAGAAACTGTAAGTTATTTCGGCTAAAATATATAAACCAAAATATGTATTGAATAAGCACTGATATTGGAGATCATAGCATACAGTGAATTTGTACATTTTGATGAATAATTGTTTTTTTTTTTCCCCTTTTTTTTCCAATCTTAATTGCCATCAGTCCTCAAGGACTTTTATCAATTTTGTTGAATGACTTTAAGAGAGCAGAGGCCAGTGCCTCAGCTTCCCAGCTAAACAACATTACGTCACGTCTTCTGAGTCTGTTAGTTATATTCGACGTATCTAGCAACTCGTTGGCCAGTGGGTTTGGATGCATGGTTAGTCGTTGAAAGTATCTTTCCTTGCAGCCTTGTATTTCTTCTATTATAGTGGGAATATTTAGGTACTCATGGATTTCGCTGTTTCGTGAGAACCATGGTGCGTTTGCTATGTTTCGAAGAATTCCGTTTTGAGCTCTTTGAAGGCACATTATGTTGCTGTTACTGACCACTCCCCATAATTGAATACCGTAAGTCCATACAGGTTTTAATATACAATTGTAAAGAAGCAGTTTGTTGTCCACTGTGAGAAATGTATTCCGTCCCATCAGCCAATAAAGGTTTTTAAACTTTATGTTTATCTGGTGACGCTTCTGTTTGATGTGTGTTTTCCAAATTAACCTCTTGCCCAGATGAAAACCCAGATACTTGACACAGTCGGTCTCAGGTATATCATTGTTGCCTAGTTTTACTCCAGGGCAATTTCCTCTCCTTAAAGTAAAGTTGATATGATGCGATTTGTGTGCACTGGCGCGGATACGCCACTTGAGCATCCAGGTGTTCGCTCTGTCCAGCAGTGACTGAAGTTTAGAGCTGGCTCTTATGGGGTCTTTGTCGCGTGATAGGTAAGCAATGTCATCGGCATAAGCCGCAACAGCCACATCGGGGCTGGTGGGGAGATCGGATGTAAAAATGTTATATAGAACTGGGCCTATAACCGATCCTTGTGGAACTCCAGCTTAGATCTCATACAACTTAGATCTTCTCTCACCCAACTTAACTTGAAAACGTCTTTCGGACAAATATGATGCTATGATTGGGAAAAACGAATGAGGAAGCTTGTCCTTCACCTTAATCAGTAGGCCAAACATGATCAAAGGCCTGTTGTACATCCAGAAAAACGGCTGAGGTGTATTCCTTCTTCTCAAACCCTTGTCGTATTGTATGGTAAACACGATGAACTTGCTCAACAGTTGAGTGCGATTTCCTAAACCCAAACTGATGTGAAGGGACCAAGTCACATTCATCCATTGCAACTTTTAGCCTAAGTAAAAAAAGTCTTTCCCATAATTTAGACAATACCGGTGTAAGGCTAATAGGACGGTATGACGATGCTTCATTTGCTGGTTTGCCTGGCTTGTGAATGAGTATGATCTGAGAAATTTTCCATAATTCGGGCACATGGCAATTCCTAAACACAGCGTTGAAGAGATATGTCAAGTAAATAATGGCCTTTCTGGGTAATTCCTTAAGAACTTTTGGTGTGATTAAATCAAAACCAGGAGCCTTGTTTGCGTCTAAGGATCTAATTTCGATTGCTACTTCCCTGGGAGATACTGCTTTGTTCGGTAACGCCATTTGAAAATCTCTTTTAAGGTTATTTTCTATATCTTCGTCAATTGTTTCGTCGTTGGGAGTAAAGATATTTGATAGGTGAATCGCAAATGCTTCAGCTTTTCACTATCTGTTCTTGCCCAGGACAAGTCGTGAGCTCTAATGGGAGGATTGTGTTTTTGCGACTTGTCAAGGTTTTTTGTCGCCTTCCATAGAGAGTGTTCTCCTTGGTCAGCTGCAGATAGTAGTAATATTTTTGATCGCAGTTCCTCATTTGCCGAATCTCTGAGTCTTTAACTTTTTTGCGGCTCGGTTAAAGTGAGTTTTGTCTGATGGATGGCGAGACAAGTGTCAGACCCTTCTTAAGCGACGTTTTTCTTCGATCTTGAGTTTGATTTCAGTTGTTTGAACTTTAAGCGTGTCTTGTTGGTGTTTGACTATCTCAGGTGAATTGATCCAACAGGCTGTTTGGATGAGGTTAGTTATATATCTGCAGGCCTCGTCAACATCAACAGGGGTTTTTAAAGCAAGATTTAATTCTGTGTTTGTTTCCAAGCAGATTCTAAAACTATCCCAGTCAGTCCTATAGTTATAAATTGATTCTGGTAGTTCCTGAGGGATAGGTCTACTGTCGATGTCTATTATAACTGGAGTATGATCAGACGATCCGTCAAGGCTTGACTCAATCGCTATATAGCGGTTGTTCATTCCACCAGCGACAAAGACATCTAAGAGATCTGTTTCTTTGGATCTGTCGGCCAGTACGTAGGCCTACCACTCGATATGTATTCAGTTTTTTGCGATCTACCAAACTTTTTAACGCCCGACCTCTAGTTACCGTGCAGCGTGCACCCCAAAAGACGTGCTTAGCGTTCCAATCACCACCACTTATGAAACGATGTCCAAGAGTATGAAAGTATTTTGAGAATATATCTTCAGTAATTTTATGCTTTGGGGGACAGTACACTGCCGAGATAATTAGTGGTCCGGTGGTATCTTCTAATCTCACAGTAGTAGCCTGAATAAATGGAGTTGAATATGATTCTAGGGGAGAATGTCTAAGGTTAGATTTAATGACAAGTGCTGACCCCGCATGTGCTTTTCCATCTGGGTGGGGAGTAGTGTAGACATTATACCCACTTATTCGAAAAGAGTGTCTCGAGGTAACATGTGACTCAGATATGAGAATAACATCTCATCTATTTTTGATAATGATAGATTCAAGCTCTAATATGTTTGGTGCCAGTCCATTTATGTTCCAAGTAGCGATACGAAGGGACGTCATTTTGCCTTCATGTTGGTGATTACAGTTGTCAATAGGTTTAGTTATATTCCTATTTGTTGAAGTAGTAGGTCAATTTTTTCTGATTGTTTTAAATCTTGACTGTTTGCCTTATCACTGTTGGTACGTCCGGAAGTAATGACAGCGTAGGTGCTGCTTTCTTGCTTGGTATTATTGAGAGGTTGTTTTTGTGGAAAAGGTTGGCTATCTGGCTTTGAGTCAGGTGTAAATTTGACTTTGCGAGGTTGAGTTTTGCGTTTTAGTATATCTTTGTAGACATGACAGCCTTTATAGTTTGCAGGATGGTCACACGAGCAAAGGGCGCACTTAGCAGGAGTGTTGCGGTCTTTTTTTGTACACTCTGATGTTTTATGTGATTCACCATATTTGACGCATCTGTATGGCCTCATACAGTTGTTTTTGGAGTGGCCATACTGCTGGCATCTTTGACATTGTACTATTGTCTTTGTCTTGCGAGGGTATTCGACCGTAATCCCCTGATGATAGATGTATTGCATGTCGTGAATGGCTTTATTACATTGGCCTGGTTCTAAGTTAATAAAAAATGTTGATGTTGGCTTTTTGTCAGGACCATATCTTGAGTTAATTATTTCACCTTTCACCTTATTACCAGTCTTTTCTATTTCTTCTACAATAGCTTCATGGGGAGTAGTGTGAAGGAGATTTTTTATCACTATACGGTAACATTTACTATTTTTGGGGGTAAATGTATGACCGATTAAACCCTTCTGATGAATACAGTCAATAACTTTTTTATAGTTTTCTATTGTATTTAACATAATGCGTAGTAAGTTTTTGTTGACTATCTTATACTTGAAATCCGCTGGATTAACTACTGATTCAATTAGATTTGTCAGTTTATTTACATCCTCAATGCCACCATACAGGACAATGAAATTGATGAATAATTAGCTCTTATTTTTCTATTAATTTGTTTCATACACATGATCAAAATTATCAAGGATTTTCTCTTAGGTTCTAAAAATATTTGATCCGATTTTGGCTTAAAAATATATTATATTTTTGGCATTGTAAAAATATATTTTACTATAGTAAAGAGTTTTTGTATAATAAACATATTAAGTAGTAAAGTAACAATAATAATTGGAAAAATATGGGCTCTTTTTGTTAGTACTACTTTTATATCATGTTTTTAGGTAAATAAATATGTTATTTAAAATCATAATTTATATTATCCAAAACTCAAATTAACAGTGGAATATCCTTATCTTGCTCACCTGCCTTCTCATACTTGTTTTAAACTTTTAAATTATTGACAGCATCATTTATATTTCCTCTTTTAATGTAAAAATCCTCTTTATTTAAAATATGTATCCACATTGTTTATAGATGGAATGCGACGTGGTATTAATGTCTATTGGCCGTCGACCTTACACAAAGGACCTTGGTCTCGAGAAAGTGGGTATCGCCCTCGATGACCGTGGCAGAGTACCCGTCAACAATAAGTTCCAGACCACAGTACCAGGGTAAATTGACATAAATTCTTATTTAAAGCATATGTTTATATGGCATACTTTTAGATTTTAGTTTTTTTACTTTAACATATATATCCATATTTATATGTATTATAATTCAGTCTCTCTCTGTCTGTTACCTCCTTTCTCTCTGTTACCTCCTCCTCCTCCTCCTTTCTGTCTGTTACCTTTTCCACACAGACGATAGTCGGCACTCGCTAGTTGTTTTTATTGATTCCATAAAATGGAGAAATTTATGACGTCTAAAAATTTATGGAAATTGTCAGTTGCAATTATTTTCAAATTAACTTCAAAATAACGAAAAAATATTGTTCATTTTGATTATGAATATTTACATTTCAGTATCTACGCTATCGGCGATATAATTCACGGTCCCATGTTGGCGCATAAAGCGGAAGATGAAGGAGTTGTCTGTGTTGAAGGTATTAAGGTGAGATAATAGCTAAAATTACGATTTCTTTTATAAGTGAACCCATCTTCTATCCTATATAAACTATGGCTCTAACTTTTAATTAAAAAATAATTTATAAATATATTGTTTTAGGGTATGCCCGTTCACTTCAACTATGATGCCATTCCGTCCGTAATCTACACACACCCTGAAGTAAGCTGGGTCGGCAAAACCGAAGAAGATCTTAAGAAAGAAGTAAGTATTAATTATTCGTCTCTGTCTTCTTTTTTGCAAACAAAAGTGACAGCATCAGTTTAAAATCAGGTTTGATTTCATTGAAAAGTTTGTAATAAGAAGATAAAAGTCTCAACGAATAAGGATTTTGTCTCTTTTAAAGTGGACATAATCACAAAAACTTGAATTCAATTAAGGCTGTCATTATTTTTGCTATATTAAAAAAAATCACAAAAACTTGAATTCAGTGAAGGCTGTCACTATTTATGCTATATTTAAAAAATATTATTGCATTGCATTATGCATTTAATTTAATGAACTTTTCGGAATGCGTCCATTCAACAATTTAGATTTGAAACTGTTGTTTTTCTATTACCATTCGAAATTAAAGGCCAATATTATTTATTATTATTCTTATCAAAATATAATAAACAAGACAAAATAAATAAATAAAATTTAGACAAAAATCTAAATTAAATAACATTTCCTTTCTAACAGGGTAGAGCATATAAAGTGGGTAAATTCCCATACATAGCCAACTCCAGAGCAAAGACGAACTCTGAAACCGACGGCTTTGTCAAAGTGCTATCCGACAAGGCAACGGACATCATCCTAGGAACACATATAATTGGGCCAGTGAGTACTTGCATTTATGATTTTATCTATAGATGTCCTATAATATAAGAAAAAGCTATAGAGATTGGTATGACTAATATTTCTTCTTGATTCAGCTACAATTTTATATCAATATACAAGACTGATAAGGTGGATCCGGAAACCCAGCTTATTACACCTAATCGAATTCTTTGTACAGCCAGGGGTGCAATCGCCTAACGAGATTTCTATGGCTATCGCTATCGCTTACGATTTCATTTTGTTATTTTTGACCGTCGAAGGTTTTCAAATGCCTCGCGCTATAGCCATAGCGACCCCGTTAGGCAATTGACCCCCAGTTCCTTATATGTGAGCGGGCTCAAACATCAATAATATGGTGGCAATCATAAAGTACATAATGCACGCCAATCTATGCAAATACTTGTCCGTAACTTTATAAGAATTGTGTCCTAAATTATTTTCAAGAATAATTTAGGACACAATTCTTATAAAGTCTTATAAATTTTGGATGATAATGCGTATGTCAGTATGTAAACGGGTGATCGCGCAAATTGTGTGTGCAAACTGAGGCCCAAGCAGTAAGTCTAAGTAAGCAGCGCCCCTATCGGACGTAAGAACAAACTAGCTTATTCCATACAAAATTTAATGATGACAATACAATTGAATTGTCAAAATGCGTGGTTGGGCCTCTGATCACTGAATTAACGTTAACTTCATATAAAATATTGACTTAATAGGGTATTTGACAAGTTTTAAAAAACGATCTCACGGTAAATACTACTAATGTTTTTGTAAACCATAAAAAGTATCATCAATCTGTTGTGTATTTCAGTAAAAAAAAACTAAACGAAAAGTTCAATTTTCAAGTTGCCACGTAAACGTTTCTCTGGGTAATATGGCGTCTCCCTAGTATGTGACGACTGCCATTAAAACGTCAAACGATACAATACAGTGAATGTTATGTCACTTTGACCGGAAGTTTACTAGCGTGTGACGTCATTTTAGTCTTCGCCAATCCCAAGCGTTTTCGTTCATGTGACCATAGAACAAAAAAAAGGCATTTATTTTTAATAAGTTTTAGAAAAGTTCTTAATTATTTGTTCACTCAGAATAGTAAAAACGGTGCAAATTCATTTTTAAATATACATAGATGCCAACAATTGGTACTTTATTTTTCATGTTGTCAAATAGCCTTTGTGTTCATGTTCACACAAACTGTGTGCGCAAATTGATTACTATTAATATCTCTACATTTCGGATGACAATTCGTATGTCAGTATGTAAACGTATGATCGTGCAAACTGTGTGTGCAAACTGATCACTGAATTAACGTTAGCTTTCTATAGAATATTGAATTAATTGTTAACTCCATTGACAGGGTAGCGGAGAGATCATCAATGAGGCTGTACTGGCGCAAGAGTACGGAGCGTCCGCGGAAGACGTCGCCAGAGTCTGCCACGCTCATCCAGTAAGTTATCTACTTACATATCAATCAATCAATACATTTTTATTCAAATTGGAAGTACAGGCAGTCCTCGACTTACGTCGTTTCAAGTTACGTCGAACAACGTTTTGACACTATTCCCCAAGCATACGTCAATGGTTTCGATTTCCGGCAGAGGAGAATTCACTTGTCGCGAGATCAATGTCGGCGAGCGGGAATTGCCCCGAACATGCTGCTGATTTTGTTTAGTTAGTTCAGGGACAACGGACAATCAAGACGTAATATATTAGTTTTTTTTGCATTGTTGACAGATTTTTTTTTTACATACATATTTTAAGGGAATTTTAATTTTGAGTCCGTGTGGATCCTAACCTTTGAGTTTTATATGTAAACATATGAAAAAATATCGTGTCGACTTACGTTGTTTCCCGTATGCCGTAAGTACGAGGATTGCCTGTTTTGAATCGCCCAAATTTTTTTCTCTACCACTCATTGTGGGACATTTTTTAGCTGAATAAAAAAACGAGCGAAAAACATTTCACAACATTAAAAGAATAATGTACCAATATTGTCAAACATTTTGTATTGTTACAACATCAGTACAATCATGATTTATATCATATAGAAAACCTGTTGGAATAGTTGGAACAGTTCAAATCCAAGTATTTTTGTCTGTAATATATTCGGACACTTGTAATAAGTATAAATAAGTATATATAAGTAAGCTTTTTTAATAAATGCTTTTTTATAGTATCTTTGAATTTATTTATGGTTATATACATTCATTCATTTATATACATACATGGTTATTTTACATCTATCTAAATATATATTATAATGGAAGAAACTGAGTGAATGACTGATTGACATATTATTGCACAGCCCAAACCACTGGGTCTGAAGACTCCAAAGGCACATAGTTTCTTTATGAGGTCTAGGGGTGCACTCAAAAAGAATTTTTCAAAATTCACTCCTGACGGGGAACCAAGAAGTTCTTGGTTCACAATCTTCTTGATTGGGACACATTTCGAGCGCATGTGGTGTATCTAGGGTATTTAATATAGTTGAAGAAATCACTTTACAAACATATAAAAAAACAAACAGGCGAATTGAGAACTGTTCTTTGAAGTCTGTTGAAAAAAGCAGCATCGTCATGATCGTGGGTCTCATTTTAGTGCGATTTGTTCTTTGCGTTCTCGTATTATTAAATAGATATCTCTTTATATATGAAAAATACCAATAAATGGCGTCCCATGGTTATGCAACATGGAGGAAGAAGTATATTAAACATTGAAGTTAGGATATTTAACTGAAAGAGGACACCATTTTATTTTTAATAATAAGTAGAACTGCATTTACTGCAATGACCTACTTTAAATTCGTTTCCATATTGACACAGGTTCTATCCCTTTATATAAATACATATCTACGTATAAAGCCCTTCAATATACTGTTGTGACCCAATCTGCGACATGATCATTATTATCAAGTTCATGAAGTTGATTTTGGTCACTTAAATTAAAAACACCTCATAAAATGTAGATATGGTAGGATTGACTTGTCTATAATGAAGATACAGTCTTAGGCATTACATAGAATTATTATTATTCATAAGGTATTCTAGTTTTAAATTATTATATAAATTAATTATTTGTTACTTAATAAGCATAATGTCTTTTTTCTTACAGACATGCGCAGAAGCACTACGCGAAGCGAACATGGCTGCGTATATTGGAAAACCGATCAACTTCTAATGTACATAATATTTAAATTATCACAATTCGTGCGTGCGTATCCATTGATCAGCAGTGCGCTTATACTAGATGTTTAGGTGGACTGTTAATTTTTTTAAGGAATCTTGTATGAATCTGATAGACATGATTTTGGATATATACTGTACGACTTGAATCTTTTCAGCAAAATTTAATTTCCATCTTCTTAACATATTCTTTTATGTTATATATTTTCGAGCTTTCTTTTTAAATTTATTTGTTTCATCTAAGTTTCATTCCAATCTTAACTTTAATATCCAAAATCCTGCTGCATTTACTGCGAGTAAATGTTTTGTACATTGGTGTATTTATTTTCTTTTTGTAAATAGTTATACGGAAGTACATTTAATTCAAAAAACTAATGCGTTTTCATATTACGACCCAATAATATTTAATTTTTACGTTAAAAGAGTGGCATGCAAGGTTATGGCCCGCCTGACATGATCATAACCGTAGCCGTCATAGTCGTAGCCTTTACAAACTTGCAATGTGCTACAGTATCACTCGTGCATTAACTACCGTCACCCCATTCTCAACCCCGCGGAGCCCTGCAATCCTAACAGGATTATCCTAGTGGTCACTCATCATCATACCGCTTGACCAAATAGGCTTGATCAAGCCAAATAAACCGTGTGTGGGGAGAAACTTTGAGAGGACATGCCACTTGAGGAAACGATCGATTTTCCATGTGTCCACTTACACTTCCACATCTGTAGTCACGCCACTTGAACGCGAGTGTGCTGTATACTGCCACACCGTCATGACGGTCGTGGCATGACTGACGCGTCAATTCTTTCTCTATCTTATAGGGATTGGACGTGAAAAATATCCATAATCAACGAAGACCCCTTATAAATTTCATCCATTCATTTACGTACCACTAGATGGCGTTATACAATTTTCCATACTATTTTCGACAATCGCAATCGCTATAGTAAAGCCTCAGATCAGATAATAAATTAGCTGTATGCTCACCCGCATTTATTCAGCAGTTTTTGTATCAACAATTTGTGAATCATTTGAATAAAAACCACGCACTATTGATGATATGAGTTTTTTATTATTAATACATTTTACTAATTACAACAAAAATTGGAGTTATAATACAATAAAATTATGACTAGATTCAAAATTCAAGTGTTTCTTGCAAATAAAAACAACAAGATTAAATTACTCATACAATTAGGTAAGATATCAAAGTTAAAAAAAATATAACAAAATATTACCATAATAACATCATTAAGATTGTAACAACTACGGAGTGTAACATTATTCGTCATAGGAAAAAATTCTAACAAAGACTGTCAAACATTAAAAGCGTTAAACTTCAAACAAACTGTTAAAATATTATTATATCAATAATCAGCGCTTCGGTTCCTAAATTTTCTACTTATGAAAGACTTGAAAAATCACACTATAATATTATAAAGGCCAAAGTTTGTGAGTGTGTATGTTTGTTACTTCTTCACGTCTAAACGGCTGGAGCGATTTTAATAAAATTTAGTATAGAGTTAGCTGACACCCTAGATTAACACATAGGCTACTTTTATCCCGAAAAAATGTTAGATTCCAGAGGAATTTTAAAGAAACTAAGTTAACGCAGACGTAGTCGCGGGCGAACTCTAACTAATATTATAAAGGCCAAAGTTTGTGAGTGTGTATGTTTGTTACTTCTTCACGTCTAAACGGCTGGAGCGATTTTAATAAAATTTAGTATAGAGTTAGCTGACACCCTAGATTAACACATAGGCTACTTTTATCCCGAAAAAATGTTAGGTTCCAGAGGAATTTTAAAGAAACTAAGTTAACGCAGACGTAGTCGCGGGCGAACTCTAGTATAAGATATAATAAGTTATTTAGTAGCGGTACTTCGCTTTGTATACGGCCAGTTTTAACAACTAATCTTCAGTAAGAGGTAGGCCTATTATAATTATTGGAGCTAAGTTATCTGGATATTTTTATTGAAATTAAAATAGGTAATAACTGTTGTTAAGGCTGTGTTTCCACAGAATCAAAGCCGAGCAGTCCAATTCCTACTAGCGCAGAGTCGAAGTGTCAATCAGAACCGTAACAAAGCAAATTCACCCTTATATCATACGCACCATAATGCACATTTTCCCTCTGAGATAAAAAGAAGACGCTCGAACTCACACGAATTCCGCTGATTAACAGCTCAGAAGGAATGTACATTACGATACGAAAATAAGGGTGCATTTGCTATGTTCCGTTATTGAATGATGGTTCGATGCGCTTCGACCCTGCTAGTTGCACTGCAGAATTGACTATTAAATAAATCAACAAATGGCATTTTTCAAAATACATTGTGTGTACTTAGAAATGAAAACTGAATAAGCTTACCTTTTACTATAATAGATATTGATTCGTAAAGTAAAAACGCGTTAATGTTAGGGTACCAATTTATACACCACGTGATTTAACCTAGGAAGCATATTCTCCACGCTTGTCCCACTGTGGGTAGTTCCTTTGAATACATAAGTATAAAGATTTTTACTGGGAAAAAAACCGCGCTCCGCTCCTTACTTTATTTAAGTAGTTAATGGTATCAATTCTGGCATGATTCTCTAAACCTAAACTTAAATTTTACAACAGTGTATCTCTGTCATTCTCTATACAGACTGAAAAGGACATACTGATGTCAAATTTAGTTTTAAGTTTAGAGAATCCTGCCAGAATTGACACCAATGTAAGCTTTCTTGGATATATATTTCTAATAATTTTCTTATATATAAAAACAAATAGAAATTCATATACCTACAAATTATCATGCTGGCGTTTATAGTAAAGATGCAAGCATGTTTGCCTGCGTAGGCGTGTTCACCTATAAAAAATGTGTGCGGATAGCTAGCACTAGTGTTGTTTTAAAAATATACACTTATTGTTTCCATTACAAATTCACGTATTTAGCAAAAATCTAATAGGACCAGTAAATGGACGGTAACGCGTAACTGTTATGAATAAGAATCACTCCTAAAGAAGAGCTTGAAAGTTCGAAAAAATGTTTTGATGCATAAAAATATGTTATCCAACGTGAATTGTCAGATTTATATTTATTCTAGTCAAACTTGTGGATTTTATTATTTATAGTGCATACCACTGTGTAACCATTTGCTAGAAGCAGAAGACAGTCATTAAGAAGTAAATTAGGTTTAAAATTGTGTTTGACAAAAGTGAAAATTGTGTGCTAAATCACAATGACCTATATTATTTTGTTTTCTGTAAAGGAATGTGTGGATGCTACGCTCTAGGTAATTAAGAGTGAGTAAAAATAGCTGAATGCGTTAGGTAGCTACACACACAATCGGGCTGGCATAGTCCGTTTGGAAGGCACATATTCGATTTTACCGCCCAGCTGTACCGATTTATGCCGGCCCAATTATGAGTAGCTACCCTAACGCGTTCAGCGACCCTTAGATAAATTGGACGTTGTTAAATGAAAAGTATCGAACCCACAACCTTTTCGTAAATTGATTTAGTATACCGAAGTACTCCTTAAGGTCAATACTATTAAAACACGACAAAGATCCAAGTAAAATTCAAATGTAATATGATTTTGTCATGAATCCAAAAAGATGAAGTTGAGAATCAAAGAAGAAATAGTCTTTAATTAAAAAAATCATATTATCTCAAAACGAATGTATGTGGGTTGGATCCTTTTCATTTAACAACGTCCAATTCGAATTCTAACAAGGGACAGAGTAGTTTGAGAACATTGCAGGCTACAATACTGTAGATAAGAATATTACGAAAATATTGTGTATATTTATAAATATCATATCTCTTGCTACAGTTGCTGATGCGTTTTTAATGCTCTCCCATTCCACTAGATGTAGGAGCATAGACAGGAAGTTAATATGTATGCATTTCAAACTGGCAATACTTTAACTTTTTAACACATGCGTTTAATTTAAGACCTTGTATGATATGCATTAATGGTGACTTTGAATGTTTAAATAATGCATTATATTGTTTTTGACTACTAAGATCTTACGGAGCTCCGTGGATCGACCCATGTACCTTTTGGTCAGGCTTCGGCCACAATTTTGTTCCTGATATTATATCTAGTGTATTAACGAATAGATATCGTTGTTTTGGTGACACATACTATGGTAATTGTATTTTTCAAATTCAACATCTAAAGAAAACCTCTAATAAACGTAATATCATTAATAATAAATACATCAAAATTAACTAAAACAAAACATATTTGCACAGCACAGTTTGTGCACTTGTGTAATGCAATAAAAATTGCTACTATTGTATGTAGAACATACTATGTTCTCTATACTTTTGTGACATATGTTAACGCTACATTAGTGTTAGTCTTCGAATCACACATAGAAGTAGAAAAAAAAATTTGATAAAAGCAAATTTGCTCATCGCTAGCACAAAAAAAACAACAATTGCTGCAGCTGCAGCCTGGGAAGCTATTTAGTTTTAGAGATACAGACTCCTTTAATAGAGATGCAAGTATGAGCAGGTAATAATGAGCTCTATTCCTCGACAGAGTACTCGACATTTTTATATCTTATCTCTGTTAGGCGGGCCGCACACCAGACATACAATGGTATAATGATAATTGTGGCGCCACATTTGAAAGGCGACACAATTAAAGCCCTCATATAAGCTAATTGGAGCATCCTGTATCTAGGATTTCGACTGGTATGCTAGTATGAATAAACATACCCAATTGGTATAAGTGCGTGCGTCTTTTCTTACCTGCATGTACAAGCGTAAATTAATTATCTTGCCGTTCAATGTTGACTATTTTCCAACATACCCACTTACTTTTATAAAATATTGTTATTTAATGATATTTACTAGTATGTAAAACGTATATTTTTTTATTGTAACTAGATGTACAGTGATGATTGTAGTGCACGAATAAACCTTTCTGGTTTTTGTTTGCACTATATGTATTGAAATAATTTTAATAAAGTACTTGATTAAATAAATTATATATATAACGACACATTTTTAAGCGGGTGCATTTAGTGATGAAACGAAAGCAAAAATGTACGGTGCATATTGTGGCAAGGTAAATATATGTTGCGTGCATGCACCCAGTGGCTCCGGTGTGCGGCCTCACTAACAGATAGAATAGATAGGTATAATAAAGATATACATTAGGCGTTGCGCCCACCTAAGCAACGTTACATGTGATCTGGCATGTAACTTGCCACGAGCATCAACATTCAAAGTAAATGGATGGGCTAGCGCCCATTTGCTTGGCGTAGCGCCTGATCTGCTACACAGCGTGCTACTAGTGACACAATGAAGAGACGCGCAACACGAAACTTGCAGCGAATATGTCAGTTACAAAGAAGGACGATTTAAAATTTAATACAAAATTTATTGAGTTGGGTCAAGAAAGACCGTGTATGTATATAATTCCTTCATAACAACGTATCCATAGTACGTGTCTCTAAAACTAAACAGACGGCAAGGCGCAAGTGTAAGTTTAGCGATCCATCATAGGAGCTACAACCTTATCTAAAATATTGTTAGTGAAATATTAGTCTAGTACGAGTCACGTCACGCCATTTGTTAATACAATTCGATAACGCTGCATACAAATATGCTTCCTACGATACATGTTTTGCATAGATATTCAATTCCATCCTTTTCACTGTCTTAAATTCGTTACGTGACAGATAGGAACTTTCGTCAAATATACCTTTCTACCTTGAAATTACACCTTTGTCAAATTTTAACTTAAACGTTGTCCTCAGCCCCAAGTGTCCAGAACTTGGCTGCACATATTCAAGTAGAATTTTGGTGACAAAATTTCGCTATACTGCATACAATCATTTGAATACATTATAGCAGCTGCCATTGTCGTTGCGTTACTTTCCATGTATTTACGAAGCACCGACTCTAAATCTGGTATAGACAAATTGTTGTCTATGAAATAGTCTTTGGACAGTTTGAAACAAGTTTCCCAAAGTTTTGTGTCGACCGGGAAAATAGTCATACATTTGTCTATGATACTGGCTGCTTTCACCGACAAGTTGCGTTCCGTAATATTTACAACATAATTAGGATTAAGTTCCTTGGGTAGATACTTGAATTCGTCACAACAACAAGGTAGTGTTTGAAACATAGCTGTACCTATCTCAGGATAGGGTGCTTCATTCAAGATGCTTAGTGACACTTCTTTGATTCGTTTCGACACTACATTTGATATGGTAATTTTGAAATCGTCATTAATTTTAACGTGGTCTACTTCTTTGTCAAAATCTTCATCGACATCTGTATGATTGAGATACAAGCAGTCATCTTTTGGGACGGTCTTCAAGTTTTCCAAGAGCAATTTTAAACAATTCGAAAAGACATTGCAGTGGAAGGCGAATTTTGCGGACATATTCAAGTTTCCTATTAAATCCTTTTCATTTATCCATGGCTTTAGCAATAAAATGAGGTCATCTGCCCATGATTTTCTATTGAAATCGTTTAAGCTCGTCAGGGGATTCTGTCTGTTCTCAATGGGTTTTCTTTGAGAACCGTCGATGTCGAATGGAAACATTATGTCTATTCTATCAACGTACTGGAACAGAAACTTGTTACCGTTTCGATTTGCCGGAATCTTAATAACACGTTTAGTGGTTTTCATCATTATAACGCGATTACTGCCCTTTTCTTTCTCGCTGTTGACCTGAACAAAAAAATATTGACATTATTCAACATTAGTGTTAACCACAGAAGAAATGGTTCCGATTGTTGAGTATCAAGTAAAATGGGTATAACGACTTTTTAACGGATTTCAGACTGTTTTTATTCACATCACATCATCATATTAATGTCCCCACTGCTGGGGCACAGGCCTTCTTTATGGATGGAATAGGGAGATTGGGGTATGAGACGGGCCCGATGCGGATTGGTAGGTGCTAACGACTGCAGATGCAGCCGGGACCAACGGCTTTAGTGCCTTCCGAAGCAAGGAGGAGTTCAAGATATTAAATTTTTGGTCACCCATCCAATGACCGACAACTACGAAAGTTGCTTAACTTCAACGATCGCAGCTGAACGCGCTAACCACTTGCGCCATCGAGCTCCTCTTCTGTTTTAATTAAATGAGATAATAGTTATTTATTATACAAGAGTGGAAAGTTCCTTTTTAACCGCGTGCTCGATTTGGATGACCGAGCAAGCGAAGGATTCTAAAGTTGAATCACGAGCGCAGCGAGTGATTCTAAATTAGAATCCTGAGCGTCAGCGAGGGAAACAAACGAGCACAAGGTGAAAAATCTTTCCACTCGAGTGCAATACGTAACTTTTCATCCCACCTCAGCGAGGAAATGACAAAATGAAAAAGAAAACAATTTATAATGACAAAATATTTAAGCAATAAAACGTGAAATACTAGAATGGCGCGAAGCACGCAAATAAAACAAAGAAACCAAGAAGGTTCCAAATTTAAATTTTTTCACAATTTAAAAAGTTCTAATCATAAATTTGGCACCATAGAGGTTACATTAAATAGGTTTAATGACGTTTTGATTTTACAATTATATTGAGTACTCATTATATGTGATGTTCTAAATTCAAATCTACTTTGCCGCTCAAGCGAATAAAATAGAATTTTCCAGCCAGATTTCGAAGCGCAAAATTACACTTTCCGAGGTGGTGGGATGAAAAATATTTATTTTCACTGATTCGAAAGGAATGGAATATGACAAACATTAACCTTAACCAATTATTACTAAACAAAGAATGAGCTCGGACTAGTTAGGGTTTTGTCTCTGTATTGGCAGATTAAGAAACCAAAATTGTCAAATTTACCCAACTGACTTAGCGCTTCATATCACTATAAAGATTCACATTAAATTGGAACTTATAAACAAATATTACCAAATTCATTTTAGTGGCATAAACAATAACGGTCTAAGCGTACTCTTCGTTGATGACAGCCAAACTAGTAGTTAGTAGAAATTAATCGTAGCATAAAAACAGTTTGTGCAGCATTTTTGGGGCAGTTACTTTAGTTGATAATGGCCTGCGCATACGAGGGACTTTTGTCCGCCTAAATAGACCGCATGTAACGCACACGAGGGATTAAAAGTACCGCGTAGTAGGTCCCCCGAACAACCGAGGCCATCGAGAAACCGGACTAGAAAAAAGTACCGAGATCGAGAGCGAAGTCCAACAACACACGTCCAATTTAAAGAGCCAGGCCCAGTATTATTTTTTCCAAACATCTATTTTTTTTCTGAAACTTCATGTTTATTAAAACACAACACAAAATGAGAATATTTACTTTCATAGCGTGCGCTACCCTAAATTTTCGGCCAACAAATATTCGCACACCGTGTGCGTTGAGTCCGTGACAAGACCTCGACGGATTTTTTTTCACGATTCAGGGACTTATATCCTCCACGGACAAATGTCCCTCGTCAGCGTATGCCATTGTAGTGGGTCATAGAGCTAACACGTTTTTTATTACAAAATCTTTAACCGTCTTCCACGTTATTACAAAATAAACCTGGACTTAAACAGATACTATCACTTTTGTTTGCTAAAAAGAAGACAAACGATATTGGGTTTCGAGTGGCTGCAATTAAGCTACTACGTGGCGGCCACTCGATTTCTATTAATTCTATTGGTGGCTGCGTCTAGCGGCTTGACTGAGCCACTAGTGGTCGCGATTAGTGGCTTAAATTGCGCTTATTAAGTACGGTTGGCGCTATATTTTACTTAATCCTTTATTTTCGACTTTAGTGGATTTTAAGAAATAAAATTGGTGTGATTTTGTGTTACAATCAATCATCAAGACTTTTAAATATACGCTATTCCAGTGAAATAGACGTGAGAACCTTATTGTAGTGTTGACTACCTCACAGCTTTTCGAGAAAGCTGATTCCATACATTTTGTGCCAACACTCCAAGAAATATTAGAGTGCGTCACACACACTTTCTAATGTAAAAAAAAATATTAAGAAGAAGACAATAATAAGACGATGGCTGCACAGCATTACCTTTCCCAATAGTCAAGAATGGAACTAAAAAAATCAATCTGCGCTTGCTCTTAAACCAAGACTAACTTTAGTCCGAGTTTTGGAATAAATTAAATTAAATTAATTGAAATTGTTTTATTTCTTTACCATACATCTGGTTAAATAGATAAAGGTAGGCTTATTTTTTTAAGTTTAAGGACACCTGTACCAAAAAGAACCACTCTTCCATAGCATGAGTTACATAATGGTAAAGCCACTCACTTTATTATGATTATAACATATTATAGTGTGAGTTACACTCCAGAGCTAGTTAACGTTAAATTTTAATAAGAATTTACCAAGACCTGCCCTGGAAATTTACGTTAAAATAAGTTGGTGCATCCAGAAAAGTGTACAAAAAGTTAAAGCTCACCTGCTGATGATTCCCTGAGGCGTATATACGGCCGTCGTCGTTAACGTACACGGTGAAGTCACCGCCGCAAGCAACGAGTGCTTTACTTTGGAAGTCTTTGTTCTCTATGTCCGGTGTCTTCGGATTGATTTTGGTCGGTTGAGAATCGTCATTGATTCGCACCTCGGTGGGTATAAGTACTTGTTTACGATCCCCGCTACCTGTTGAGGATAAATAAAGGCAGTTTTTTTTTATTTTTCCTTCTTTTTGCTGTAGTATTAAAATCTCTTATCTATTAGACAAGTCCGTCCGTCCGTCCGTCCGTGGTGCTGTTTCAGGGGCCAAACCGTAAGAGATAGATATAGAGAATGTTTAAGTTATAAGTTAAGAATAGTCTGATAAGACTACAAACCGGATGTGAGTAACGTAGCACTTCCGGTTTTCGAGAAATCACGACATTTCTATATCAAACGAAACCACACAAAATCTCCGAAGTTCTCAATTAATTAAATACCTTTTTTTTTTGGTGAACATTTGGTTCTCTGGTTTGCTAGTAGTATTATAACAAGGGATATGCAATTTACCTAATTGTCCATCGAAGTTCAATCCCCATGTGTATAAAGAACCAAAATTGTCAATCAAGCACGAATGATGCCAACCAGCTGCCATCTGCAAGATAATATAGAAGTTGAAAATATACAGCCTGCTTGGGTATATGAATGATGACTAACTTTTTTTCCTTTTTGGTCCTTCGAGCCGGATCCATTTTCGAAAACCAACAGATATATTTTTTTGATTTCAAAAAAATATATCTGTTGGTTTTCGAGTATCTCATGAGTTTCACGTCTTAGTACAGTTTTTACATAGAAATAACGTCACAAGCACTCCCAAATTTGACTCGCTTTACCTTTGCAATTTTTTTGGTTGACTGACAAAAGAAATTAATCTTAAACAAATATAATATACATATTGCACACAAAATATAACTACAAATTCCATCCAAACCAATATCATATTACATAAAAAGATTTTTAAGCATAATCTTAGAAATAAAAATAAACTTCAACTTTGTAAAGCACGAACTAATAACGGACAAAAAACGATATTATTAAGAGGGAGGGAGTACCATGGGCGTAGCCAGGTACGGGCAGGGGGGGGGCATCTGCCCCCCCCCCTAGATCGAGGAGCTTCAGAACCAAAAATTAAATAATAAATAATCCAAAAACTAACTATAAAATTTAAAAAAAATTAAGAATCGCACATCACTCTCATTAGTCTCGTTACTAAAGCTCTAATTTCGATAGGACTACTCGTAAACAGTGAAGTGATTTCGTACGTACCTACGTTAAGCATTTCTTGGACGTAAAATGATGGATATAAGGATTTTTTTAAAGTATGCAGTCTGTATAATGTTACTGTGTGTACAACTAGTTACCATTTATCGCTACATTTGTTCTAAAAATAAAAAAAAAACTTTTTTTATGATTATGTTAAATAATGAAAATACCCGTCTATTGGGTTTTTTCCCACATAAATACCCGGTTTTTTCCCATTGGGTTTTTTCCCACTGCCCATCTCTAGTGTCTACTGACGCGAGTTGCGGGTCGATGGGAGGGCGCGGTGTCACTGACCTGCAGGATGCGGCCGCGAACGTAGTGCGTGACTACTGGCGCGGGCACGAGGTGCAGGTCGATGGGAGGGCGCGGTGTCACTGACCTGCAGGATGCGGCCGCGAACGTAGTGCGTGACTACTGGCGCGGGCACGAGGTGCAGGTCGATGGGAGGGCGCGGTGTCACTGACCTGCAGGATGCGGCCGCGAACGTAGTGCGTGACTACTGGCGCGGGCACGAGGTGCAGGTCGATGGGAGGGCGCGGTGTCACTGACCCGCAGGATGCGGCGGCGAACATAATGCATGCCTTACTGGCACGAGGTGAGGGTCGAGGGGAGGGCGCGGTGTCACTGACCTGCAGGATGCGGCCGCGGACGTAGTGCGTGACTACTGGCGCGGGCACGAGGTGCAGGTCGATGGGAGGGCGCGGTGTCACTGACCCGCAGGATGCGGCGGCGAACATAATGCATGCCTTACTGGCACGAGGTGAGGGTCGAGGGGAGGGCGCGGTGTCACTGACCTGCAGGATGCGGCCGCGGACGTAGTGCGTGTCTACTGGCGCGGGCACGAGGTGCGGGTCGAGGGGAGGGTCGCAGGCGGGCTCGGTAGGGGACGAGGCGCGACGAGCATTCGAGGCCCGCACTTGTTGCGGACTAGCGCCCCACGTATACAGCTGGCCTTTGGACGTCAGTGCCAACTATTGGTAAAGGACGTCAACACCAATTTACAATTAAGTAAGTAACAATGGAATATATTGCACTAATCCTAATTACTCTTATTACTCAATCACGCAAAAACGGCACAACGGAGTTGGATGAAGTTTGGCACACGTACCTATAGTTCATTACCTGGATAGAGACATTTATTTCTCGAAAAAACATTGGGTTTCTGAAGGATTCTCAAAAACCTAAATTAACGCGAACGACGTCGCGGGCGGCTGCTAGTAAATATATAAAGCGTACTGATTTTTCATTCCAATATTTAAAAAACTGAGTATCACTCAATGATAATACAATAATCTACAGCTTTTATACACTTAAGGACACAAAGCAACAAATTCAGTCAAGTCTATAGCCTTCAATGCAATATAATCGAACTCACAGTATGGAAATACCCCACAGCTATAGTTTCGATCGCCTCCGGTAACACAACTCGTACCGGTAAGGAACTCTTCTCGCGACTGCCGGAGCCTAACTGGCCGAACACGGCAGCGCCGCACGCCCACACTTCGCCGTTCTTCATCAACACCACGGTATGGCAAGCCCCGCAACCCACTGACAGGACCTGAAGATCACCACAGGCCCGTTTTAATCCAAGATTAAATAAAAACCAGTGTTTCAAAACTGTGCCGCTTTAATTAGCAGCATGAATAAAATCCGCTTTAGTCACAATATTTTCTTTTTATCATTGTTAAAAAAAACTCATACTTAAATACCTGGCCAACCTGTAAACATCAGGCAAACCAACGCTCGTTTTCCTTACATTATCAAGTTAAATATATATGTCCAAGCTATCTAAAATTACCTGTCTGTTGCAAATAATTTACTTAATATATTTGATGTCCAGACACGCTTCATGTGCACTAAATATAACAAAATTGCAAATATTACATAAACAATGCCTTCGATGTTTTTAAAAAGTGCAGAAATAGTTCAAGAACAATCGTATTCCACGGTAACAATTTTTATTCATAAAAATATAATGAAACTTTTTCTCAAAAATCACGGTTTGTCATGAATGTCATGAGCTTATATTAGCCATTATCAATATCACAGCCGTTATCAAGAAAAGGACAAAAATTCAGCTCAGCTGTTTGTAGGGAGAAAAGAAAACGCAGTCGGTTGCCAAGCGACGCGGACTCGCCGACTCGCTCGCGCTGCGTGGAAACGAACCGTTCTCTCTCGATTGAATGTATATTTATAGGTGTGCGTGTGTGAGAGTTACTTATGTATTGAGTCATTTTTATTCTTGATGTATGGGAAAGTAAGCACGATGCTATTGGCATTTTTTGTGACTTATCAAAGGCGTTTGACTGCGTTAGTCATGAAACATTGTTAAATAAAATGAAGCATTATGGTGTATCAAATGTTTCACTAAGTCTGATACAGTCCTAGGCTGTTACAAGCTCTTGTGAAAATCAAACGCTACGCCATCGGTTCGTAAATGTACGGCGGGAGACAAGAAACTCAGCAAGGGCTATTTTTTTCTCCCTGTTTTGTTTCATACAGTGTCGTCAATTGAAAGATGACATCAAAAATTTAAAACATGTGTTGATGTCAACTTCACATTAATATTATTAATTAACAAAAGTTAAGTACAGCTAGGTACTATTTTTAAATTTAGAAGTGGCGATTAACATTTTCAACCATATCAGCAAAGTAAAACGACTTAGTCTATTATATTAAGCCCAAGGTAACTTATCATTTATGAAATCTTTAACAGTATAGTAACCTTTCTTAAGAAGACATGTTTTTATACACACTTTAAACTTATTAGAAGGTTAATTAATTATTTCTATTGGTATTTTATTATAGTAACATATACCTTGACCCACAAATGAACCAAGAATCTTTTGCAGTCTCAACAGTGGCAATTTGAGTTTATCTTTATTTCTGGTATTGAAATTATGTACATCATCGCGCCTCGTATATAAATTTATGTTCTAACGTACAAAACAATATACAATTGTAAATGTATTGAGAGGCAACAGTCATTATACCTATTTCTTTAAATTTATCCCTAAGAGAAGTTCGAGATCCCAAGCGATAAATAGCTCTTATAGCTCGTTTTTGAAGAATAAAAACTGTTTCAATGTCAGCAGCCGTGCCCCACAATAGAATGCCATAAGACATAATGCTGTGAAAATCGCTGAAATATATTGTCCTAGCAGTGGCGACATCTGTAAGCCGTCTTATTTTTATAAATTGCATAAGCAGCAGAACTAAGTTTACCGGCTACTGTTGTAATGTGAGGGTTTCATTGAAGTTTGTGGTCTAGTGTTACGCCTAAGACGGTTGTATCGACTAAAATTAGTTTTTCACCATTTAGAATTATATCCCCCACTTCAGCATGCTTTACATTCGGCAAAGTAAATTTCACACATTTGGTTTTGCTCGCATTAAGTCTAAGATTATTAGAAGAGAACCAGTGAAGTACCTTGGAAAGTGCATTGTTTTCATCGTCATAATTAGTTTTACACCTGTCAACGTTAAAAATTAGCGAGGTGTCATCTGCAAACAAAACAATGTCACAAAAAAAAATCTACAAAGAAAGGTAAATCATTAATGTATATTTAATACATTAAATATATATTTTAGCATTGTGGCACCTGCATCAGTTGTGGAACGGTTTTTAGTGAAACCGTACTGAGCTCTGTGTAAAAGTTTATTAATGTTAAAATGAATCAACAATTGTTCTATACATGAATTAAAAATATCAGCTAGGTAAAGGGGCTATAGAATGTATAATATTATTTCAACATTGCCGAAATATCGGAAACTAACTAAAAAACGAGGTACATGGTAGAAATCCTGTAAATAACACGAATTACTATTCATGTTTCGTCATTTACCAATTTATAACAAGTTCAATATTCAACAAAGGATATTTATTTATATTTCGATCTCTCAATAATTTAATGTTCATGAACTCTATTTCTCATTAGAATTTCAAGTGACAAACCTTCCTTCCTTGAAACTTCGTGACCATTTTTGGACTGTGTTCGTCATCTATACTGCCGAGGCCGAGTTGACCATGAACGCCCCATCTAAAAAAATAAAGGACCATGAAGATATAATGCTTCAGAACCAAGCGTACTCTAGATAGTTCAGGAATTCAGGGAGAAATACATCATACGTAAAACTATTTACGGGTTGTGGAGTACTCAAATGACGTTACGATACCTCAGTAGCCTGCACGTTCAAGCTCATATTATAGACTTTCTGCTCATACCTCTCCGATTGTACGTAGTCTCCTCCTTATATCATGTAAACTCACCCCCAAGTATAAAGTCGTCCGCCCGCGTCTATGACAGCGGAGTGGTAATGCCCGCACGCCACGCCTACTGAAGGCGCCGTCCACTGGAACGGTACGTGGAACAGTGATCCCGCACTACTAGCCGCGTCTCCGATGGCACCCGGCCAAGAAGTACCCACGCCTAACTGGCCGTATGAATTGTCGCCTGCTGAGTACACCTATGAAAATATTGAACGTTGATTTCTATTCGTCTACAATATTATTAGACTCTAAGAGCAAGCGCACATTGAGCCACTAATCGCGGCGCTAAATGCGACCAATAGTGGTTCAGTCAAGTCACTAGATGCAGCCACCAACCGAATGAAGAAAAATCGAGTGGCTGACACCAAGCTACTAATGGCGGCCACTCGATTTCTCACGTCAAGACTCTAGACGCAAGAGGAATCGATCAACTCGATTTGTCACGATTTGATTGGTGGCTGCGTCTAGTGGCTTGACTGAGGCACTAAGGTCGCGTTTAGTGGCTGAATGTATGCTTGCTCTTAATATTACAAGAGTAAGAAAGAATGGAAAGTAAAACTATGCAGTTAATTTTAATATTAAGACAGAAACAGTGATACTTGTGACATGTCAAAGGAGTGTGTCGGTTTCAAACATTTAACAATTAGAAACACATTGTTACAGTGATGTAGTGTTGCAGACCTTCTCTTCAGTCGACAGTGGGTGGACAATGGCTGTGATAAAAGAAAAAGTGATGCAGCGCCATCATAGGCATATGAAACCGATACGATATGATGCTTGACGACACTATCAATTAAATAAATAAATGTGCATAAAGACACTAACCCCGTTTTCGGTAAGAACTAAAGTGTGATGTCTTCCGCAGGCGACATCAATGACCCGCCCAATAATATCCGTGTTTATCGGAGTGTTCGTCATCATTATTTTGGCGTTTCCGTCATCTGCTACTGACCAATGTGATAAGCCACAACTGATGGACCTTCTTTGTACAAATTGATTCTTCCAAGTATCCGCGTTTTGTGTCACCTCTAAGTGTATATCAGGGCATGGATGCCTCGTTTCGAATTCGCAAGCGACGTGCATGAAAGTAGCTATCAATTGTAGCATTCTTGAAGTCTGAAAATCACAAAAATAATAAAAAACTTTATTAGAAAATATAAGAATTAACTGTAAATTAACTGTCGTTTAATTCTTAGTTTGAGCGTTTATTCTTAATTCTAGGATTATTTTTCATTAAATTCCGAATGGAAAACTTACATAAACTGTCGTAATCCCTTGCTGCATATCGCGTATAAGCGGTCGCAATTGATCTTGTAACGGATTCAGCCATAAACAAATACGCTACAAAAAATAAACAATATTATGTTACATCATAAAATTACAACTAATAAACTAAGACCCCCTTATTTATCAACAAAAAGAATAAACTTTGATTATTTAGTCCATGTTTTGTGTCTGTTTATTAAACGATAAATGGCATTTAAGTGATATGAACAAAACACGGCGTAACTAGTCTAAGCTTATTCCTCGGTTAAGAGGATTAATGTTTTATAGTTATGATTACCTTCAGAATTATCGTATCGAACTTGTTGCATCGCTCTACAAGAAAATCAAAAAGCCACTTTGGATTTTCCTCTAGCAACAGTGGCACAAGACATGTTTGATCCAGTAAATAATTCAGTGTTCCTCTGCATATGTCTTTTCTCACTTTAACAGCGGCGAGTATTAAGTTTGGTTGGCCACGGTGAACGCTGAACTTTGGTAATTCTTCCCAAAGGCCAATTGCTGCGGCTATTGAAGATAGCTCTGATAGTTCCTTAGTAGTCAGTGATGTGAATTTAACATCCCTAATAATTGGAGTAGATAAAATAGGTTGATTTTATTTTTCTCAGTAATAAATGAACATCGAACCAACGAATTAGAAATGATATGGAATACGAACTGCGCTCAAATGTGGTTGGTTCCACGCAAACTGCAATCAAGTGGGCGGGGAGAAAAAACTGCGATCATAACGCCGATCATGGGATTGGTTGTGATTTCCGTTTAACATTATCTTACCCAATGAATAGATAGCTTAATTCATTTGCAGATATTTGATTTGTCAAATTATTATGTTTTGTCTGTGTGCGTGTCGCGTTAGTATTGAACTTTAGCTGTGCTGTGTGAGTTTGGAACCATGTTTAAGCGGCTTTTGTTAGAGGGTAATGCTTTAATATCATTTCTTATTCGTTGCATCGAAGGCTTAGTTAGTTTAGTTTATTTTTGCGATTTCTTATGTAAAATCACACAAGCTTATCTTAATGAACTACTTAGAAATTATAATCATAAAAAACTGGTCATGAGGAAGAATAACTTCTCAGTGTTATTCTTGAATATCAAGATTACTAAATAGCCTTTAATCAATTATAGGTTTATAAGTTTTGATTATTTAATACTAGCTGTGCCCCGCGGTGTTACTCGCGGTTTATTATGGATATTTTCCCGCAGTAAAACGTAGCTTATGTGTTAATCCAGGTTGTCAGCTCCTCCTCCTCTTTAAATGTGAAGAAGTAACAAACATACACACTCACAAACTTTCGCCTTTAATATAATACGAGAGGTCGCCCGCGACTTCGTCTGCATTAACTTAGTTTCTTGAAAATCCCTCTGGAACCTAACATTTTGTCAGGATAAAAGTAGCCAATTTTAATCTAGGGTGTCGGCTAACTCCATACCAAACTTTATTAAAATCGCTCCAACCGTTTAGGCGTGAAGAAGTAACAAACATACACACTCACATACTCACACACTCACAAACTTTCGCCTTTATAATATTAGTGTGATTCACGTTTTCATTAATACTGTTGAAAATAAAATATCTTACGGTTCGAGTTTCTCCACGTGATTAGTGGCCATTTTAAGCAGTAAAGCCAACAGTTTCAGCGTAATAGCGGCATTCCCGAGGCTGGCTTCATTTCCCGTTTGTTTGTACATAGACAATTCGTGGAGGCGGCCGAATATACCCAGGCGTGCCACCCAACCATCCGGTTGACTCTACGAAATAAAGTTATTATACAATAGCTATCCGTTTGACGAGGATAGCACTGCCGAAACATAATCCGCCTTTATTCCAAAACGCTAAAAAGTTAGTCTTGGTTTAAACCTAATGTTAAACAAACATATAGTGCGTTCTTATAACGCTGTACTGACCTGTGAGAGCGAGTACAGATAGTGCGCGGGCGCGACCTTGCCCCGCGACAAAGCAGGTCGGCCGCGGCTCGTAATAGGGCAGACAGCGCCCCGCCGAGTGCGGCCACAGACATATATTGCGTCCTTATAGCGCTGTACTGACCTGTGGGAGTGAGTACAGGGAGAGCGCGGGCGCGACCTTGCCCCGCGACTGGAGCAGGTCGGCCGCGGCTCGTAATAGGGCGGGCAGCGGCGCGACCAGTGCGGCCATAAGCATATAGTGCGTCCTTATAGCTCTGTACTGACCTGTGAGAGCGAGTACAGATAGTGCGCGGGCGCGACCTTGCCCCGCGACAGGAGCAGGTCGGCCGCGGCTCGTAATAGGGCAGACAGCGGTGCGCCGAGTGCGGCCACAGACATATAGTGCGTCCTTATAGCGCTGTGCTGTCCTGTGAGAGTGAGTTCAGGGATAGCGCGGGCGCGACCTTGCCCCGCGACAGGAGCAGGTTGGCCGCGGCTCGTAATAGAGCGAGCAGCGGCGCGACCAGTGCGGCCATAAACATATAGTGCGTCCTTATAGCTTTGTACTGACCTGTGAGAGCAAGTACAGGTAGTGCGCGGGCGCGTCCTTGCCCCACGACAGGAGCAGGTCGGCCGCGGCTCGTAATAGGGCGGGCAGCGGCGCGATCAGTGTGGCCATAAGCATATAGTGCGTCCTTATAGCTCTGTACTGACCTGGGAGAGCGAGTACAGATAGTGCGCCGGCGCGACCTTGCCCCGCGACAGGAGCAGGTCCGCCGCGGCTCGTAATAGGGCGGGCAGCGGCGCGCCGAGTGCGGCAGCGGCCTGCTCCGCGCCCGCCCCGCCCCGTGTCATTATGCCGACCAACCACTCGCACGGATCACAACTAATCGACAACCAATATAAAAAAAACAATAAAATAAACATTCAAAACAAGATTACTATAAAGAAAAACTTATCCGGTTATGCTTAAAAAATAAAAATATTATAAAATAGTTATTTTCAACACATTTGCTTCGAAAATGCATTTGTATTGTAGGCAAACTACCGTCAAACCACCGGCATTCAGTATAAAAGGCGAGCCGTGCGCGCGTATGGGACTGGCACATTCACTACTTGGCGCGCGAAGCGGACGGACCTCTGGTCGAATCTCAATCAGTTAAATCGTGTGATTTTTATAAGTCGGTATTCCTTTAAATTCTATTGTGATAATGGTGAAGTGTATAATTTAATAAGTGTCTTAGTCATTAAATAAGTGTCGTAGTGGTTAAATAAGTTTAATTGTTGTAATAATTGTTATACATGGGATACAATAGGGAAGATGCATATATAATATTTATGAAAATTTTATGATTAAAATGTTAAAAAAATATAAAAGAAATGCCACTGCAACATTTTTATTTTACATAATGTTATTTTTTTAACAATTATTACGAATTAAAAATACTTGAAACAGAACGTATTTTAAAACACCAATCAGCGTTTAGTGACGTCACTCCTGTTATGACAACTTCTTTGAGGTTATGGTTGTTAAAGTAAATATTATTTTATGGGAATATTAATTGCGTTTTTTACATTTAATAAAAATGGAAGTTGCGTTTATCAAAGCAGACTCCAGGAATTTACCATGAGTTAGTGTTGACATGGTTATAACTTTTTTTGTCCAAAGTGCAGAGTTTTTGAGTGTAGAAATGAAAGGGACTAAATTACTACGGTATGTAAAAATCGTAGTTGGTAAACTTCGTATTTTATTCAGCGGCTTCTACAAATCTTACGGCGATAATGCAATCGGCTATAGCCAAATTAAAAGAGATGGAGAATTATGTACAGTAAAAGGTCGAGTTCTCCGGAGCATAAAGTACGTAAAGAAGGTTATCGTGTTACAGTTATTTTAAATGAAACGCAAAGCTTGGTTCAGTCCTGCCAATGTAAAGATTGTGCCACACATTTTAAAGTTTATCTAATTTTCGACTTCATTCTCGAACTGTAAAATTAAAAATATGTTATAGACAGGTTTTGTAAGTATTAGGTAGGTTACTAATGCGTTTTTACGTACAAGCAGATTAATTAAGCATATAACAAGTATATTCGCCGACTTACGTCAAAGTGATCATCGAATAATGGTCTTTGGAGAAACATTGTCATTTCACTTCGCAGCTTGAAACCACTTTTTTTTTCAGTTTTGGGTCAGAAGTTCAAGTCAAAAACAATTTATTTATAAACTTTGTTGAAGTAGATTGGCACAAAACATGAGTCAACACGGCTTTTTTTCGGAATATTAGTGGTATTGTTATGATAAATAATAAATAAATTTTTTCAAAAAAATATTTCGAAAGTCGAAAAAATATGCAAAAGTATGAAAATTTAAAGCCAGCGACGAACAAGTACGACCAGTGACAGACAGGAGTGACGTCATCGCAACCATAGGTTCGTTTTCGCGCGAAAATTTAAATTGTCAATTTAAAACCGCATTTTTTCCGATAAATCACAATGTTTTAATTTTTTAATATATCTGTGATTTATTCTACATGGAATTCTTTAAAATGAAAACAAAAATAAAAATATTGCATCTTCCCTATTGAGTAGATATCTCGTCTAGTGTTTCTTTTTTTATCATTTTACTGCTTCTAATCCTAAAAGTATATATTGTTCGAAAGTTCAAATTACGGGCCATACAATGGAGCGTTAAAATGTAAGTAAAATAATTTTACCTCACCGTTCTTTTTATTTTGGTCGAACCTCCTTAGAGGCGCTTTTAATCTTTACCTTTGTGTCATTTTAATAATAAAGAGAAAAAGAGACCAAAGATGTTGTTCTAATTTTCACTACCCGCAAGTGGCGACATTTGGAAATGCGCGCTATTTTCTAATTAGAAAAAGTTTACTTCCTTCGCTAAATTAGGTATAGGTACTGTATTCTCGCAAATGTTTGAAAAACGATGTAATACATTCGTGCGTAATACATTCGGGCGTATTAATGTCCCCACTGCTCGGACACAGGCCCTTCCTATACATGGAATAGGGAGATTGAGCCATGACCCACCACGCGGACACAGTGCGGATTGGTGGGTGCTACCGACTGCAGGTGCAGCCGGGAACAACGGCTGAGTTGCTTAACTTCAGTTATCGCAGCCGCACGCGGTAAACATTAGTAATTCTCATTTTTAAAATATCTTATCAACAACTCACACAGTGTTCAGAATGTACGCTCCGCAATCAGTGATGATCAAGCAGGGTTCCAGACTGAACCGGGGCAGTTGTAAGTCGCACAGGAAGGTCGGTTCCCGCCATCCGCCCGTTATGGCCGGCGGTTCTCTCGCCGACATGAGGTGCGCACGACGCACGTCGCCTATCAACTCGGCGGACCAAAGCTCGGAGAATTCCCTTTTGGCACCCAATAAAGCTTCTCCCTAAATGGAAATGGACAGGACATATAATACGAAGCAAGAAAAATAAATGAACCAAAGATGTTAACGGGTGTACACTTCGGGATGTAAAAAGGAGGCGAAGAAGAAAAAGGAAGAGATGGGAAGACGAAATAAAAGTGCACGAAATAACAGTTGTCATGGCTGCAGGAGAGGCATGGAGTAGGAAGGCTATGGACAGACAGCTTTGGGAACTCTAGGGGAGGCCAGCCAATGGGCAATCGGATTAATATTGCTGTAATAAATTAATGTAATATATTATAATAAATTAGTCAGAATAAAGGCTTATTTTTTTAATGGTTCCCCTGCGTAAATATAGTACTATAAGTCTGGCATGATCCTTTATAATAAATATAAAGAATCATGCCAGACTATATAAGATATAATTTATATTTATGATAATATACTTTTGTTTGATTTATTCATTACTATTACAACCAGGCTGGAATCTAAAAGGAGATTTTATTAACTAGTAATTACATAAAAGATTTTACTAGAAAATAATCAACTCTGTTAAAGTATCACAAATGAGAAAAATGTTATTACTTGTATGACTGAAAAGCTTGCACTGTGGACTTCCAATTCATTCTTCCTGATTAAATAAACAAGTCTCTGTGACCAAAGACCCTGAATGTATGTTCCTTCTTTTTTTATGCGAGGCCTTAAAACCCTGGATGGAATGTCTTCATCAGGACTTTCGAGCTAGGAACGTTTAAAGACGTCAATAAATTTTACAAATACAATAATAAATCTGTTAATACTGGTAGTAAAAACCTGGATTTCTATTGGTATTACTATAATACTTACAATGAGGGTTCCTTCATTTAACTCAAATGCTGTGAGAAAATGTCTTCCATTAACATACTGTGCAGTTAAAGCCCAATTGTTTGTATCTTTGCGGAATGAAGGCAAATATTCAGTAGGTTTTAAATGATATTCCACAGTGTGTGACTTACCATCTGAAAATAAAGATAACCAATAATCTATAATAGTAACAAAATTCAAATGGTTTGATATACATACTATTACTAGTGCATTGGCACTTGCCTGTGAAAAATACATAGAAAAATCTAGGAACCTGAAATATTTCAGGTGTATTTATGAATCTTAACAATCCAGAGCCATTCTAATACACCTATAAAATTTAATTGAAATAGGTCCTGCCTTTTAGGAATTTAGATAAAATCCTAAAACCCAAATACAGCTGCATCTACCAGGTCTAGTTGGAAGCAAGACGCGGAAGAATCCCTAAACGGGGATCCCGCGGCTTCGCGCTAAGCAGCTTAGAGGGTATTCGCAGGACTTTTTTAGCGGATATTATGCCGTAAAGCGCCCGTAAGAGTTGCGGGTTCCTCGGTGGGCAGCCACTGGGGGGTCCGTAAGACTTGCGGGAGCCAGAAGTGAGGTCCGTTCGGCGGTGTGCCTCTTAAAGGCACCGTCGTCTGTAAATAGCATTTATTACCTGCGTTATAAAAAAAAAGTCTAGTTGGAAGCAAAACATCCAGGGACCTGCCCAAACATACTCAGAAAATTTCTTGGAAAGAGTTCCAGCCATTAAGGGAGAAGTTAATACTATATAGTCATAACAAATTCAGGGAAACACAATCTGATAATTTCCTTACCCTTAGATCCACCTTGGGTAAAAAAAGTGATTTGATCTTTGGACAGTTGTATTATGTAAGACATGAAGCTGTCTCTCTTATCCTTATCTTGTTGCAATCGCATTTGATTTAGCCAATTATATCCAAATGATCTGTGTTCCAATACAAGCTTCCAATGCTGTGACTTATTTTTGGAAATCTAAAACAGAAATGACATTTATGTAAGTATGTGTGTTCCTTAATTTTCAGTAGTTTTTTTACTTTTACCTATCCATGTTAAGATGCTGAAACATTGTACAACTTTCAATCTGTTGCTGATCCTGCTGATAAACTAGCAGCACCCAATACTTCATCTGCTTTATTTTAGTTTTTTCAGAGACTCAAAGGAACCTGTAATTTTTCCAGGATAAACAGTATCCTATGTCTCATTCCAGGTCATTGACTAAAGGCACCAAATCTGTTAAGTAGTTTTTGCGAGATTGAGAAAGAAACATACATACTTATAATTTTTATTATTTTCTTTAGATTTTATCATCAAGCATGTAACTGCTTGATGATAAAATCTAAAGAAAATATAACTAGAAAAAAAAACCACGCAGACCAGGCAGCAGACGGGACTCGAACCCGCACCCTTCGCAATCCGTGCGAATGCACTGACCAATTATGCTACCGCAGCTAAAAGATTGTACCACACACCCTTGGGCAGGAGTCGTGTGCGTTATTTGGCACTTCCCGCCAAAGCCCCAAAAACAATATGAGTGCTGCGAAAAGAGAAACAGTACCCCAGGAGGGTATCGCGAATAGCGAAGAATCCCTCACCAAGCCAAGCTTGGTCTGTCCCGCGTATTCTGGGGGGGGGGGGGACCTGTCCGGCCTAGCTGAGGCCATAACTACAGCCCATAAGCGCCCCTGCAAAAGGGAGTCTGCTAATGTGGCAGCCACCCACAATCACACACACAAAGGCTCGCAGGGCCAAACGGAACGTCGCCCCAACCGGCGTGCGAGAAGGGAAGCCCTGCAGTCTACCACAAACATGAACATGCTGTGGAAACACAGTGCGAGCCTGTAGAAATACAGAGGGCCGGCCAACCAACCACTCACAAAACCAAACAACCACGACGGAGACCAAAACCGAGGGATTTTCGTGCTCGGAGGATCGCTGCGAAGGCTCCCACTGCTCCTGAAAAGGAGCAGCCTGGGGTTGGGGGTTGTTCGGACGAGGCAGCTTCTGTGAAGCGGCCACGCCTGGATGACACACAATCTCCAAGGGTGGATGCCAAGCGCGTGATAACCGACGCGAGGACGAAGCGGACGGTGAGCTACGCAGATGCGAGTAAATCGCATCTGAGAGTAGCGGTCACCACCGTTCCGCCGAGGGACCTCTCGGCTGAGCAGGCGGAACACCTGAGGGAGACCATCGATGATGGCATCGTACAGGCTGTTCTGACTCCACAGTCTCCGGATGCGCAAGCCCCATCTTTCCGCGGGCGACCCTTCCTAGTGGACGGGGTGCTAGCGATGTGGTGTGAGGATGAAAACGCGCTAAAGTGGCTCGAACAAATGGTGAAAACCATGCAGTCACCCATCCAAAACACGACGTTAACGGTCATCAAGCTGTCGGATGTGAAGAAGAAGCTCAGAGCTGGGCTTCTTCTTCATACCCGAATCACCGAGTCTGCTACACTGCAGCGACTCCTTTGTGCCCAGAACCCTTGGTACAAGGTTGACTCCTGGCAGTGCTATGATATGACCGTCGACGACAAGCCGGAGAGTAATTCCAAGGAGAAGGTAGTCCACCTAATCCTAGGAATCCCCGAGGACCAGAAGCAAATGATACTCGACAGAGAACGCAGTGTTGCACACATAAGTGGCAGCGGATACATCCGCTTTTTCGCGCCAGACGATGCACCACCGGCGGATCTGACAGTAGCGAAACCAAGTGCGACTACAGAGCAGGAAGGCAATGTGGTTCCAGTACCAAGCACCTCAGCTCCCCAACCGGGTCCGAGCGAGATGGAACTGGGGGCAAGCCTAAGCTCGGAGGACTGCGTCAGCGACGAAGATGGCGTCCTACGTAGTCCCTAGTCGCATTCAAATTATACAGACCAATCTCCAGCACAAGCAAATAGCGGCGGCCACTCTACGCAGGGTGCTGGAGACGAACAACAAGACCGTCGCCCTGATCCAAGAACCCTGGATCAGAAACAATAGGATCTGCCGTCTGAACAACATCGGTGGTAAGTTACACTTAAACACATCTATCGAAAAACCAAGGACATGCATTTTCGTACCTAAGTCCGTAAAAACAACCATGCTTAACCAATTCTGTTCTAGAGACCTCACAGCTGTGACGATCCTCACAGATAATTAAACAGTCCTGGTACTAGCTTCAGTCTACATGCCGAACGAGGGTGAAATACCTACGAGGGAGCTGACTGAGCTGGTACGACACTGCGAGAACCACAAATGGGAGCTGATCGTAGCGACTGACTGCAACGCACATCACTCACTGTGGGGAAGTAAGGATACAAACAAGAGGGGTGAGTTGTTAACAGAATACTTATTCCAAACTAACCTTAACATCATGAACATTGGCACGGAACCCACATTTGTTAGCTCCAGGTACCAAACCATCATAGACATAACCCTAGCGACACACGCAGCGGCCAATCTAATCGAAGGATGGCACGTGTCAAACGAACCCTCCTTTGCAGACCACCGTAGGGTATGTTTCCAACTAAAATACAGACAGACAGACCCTGTTCCATATCGCAACCCCCGAAAAACAGATATAGCAAGGTACATAGAACTCTCGACCAAAGCATTAAGCGAGACACAAACACACGATGAAATTCTTGACACAAACAACATAGAAACAAACGTACAGTTCTACACTTCAGCACTTCTTGGAAGCTACGAACTGACGTGCCCTACCATCGTACCGAAAGACCTGGGTAAAAGTTCCTGGTGGGGGCCTGAACTTGAAAAACTACGTAAGGAACTCAGGACACTTTTCAATCGAGCGAAAAACACCAGAACCAATGAGGACTGGGACAAATACAAAATAGCACAAAAACACTACAAGAAGCGAATCAGATTCCGGAGTAGAGAAGGATGGCGCGGATTCTGCAGTAGTGTTAATTCAACAAATCAAGCTGCCAGACTTAAGAAGGTTCTGTCCAAGGACAACTCCAACCTTCTTGGGTCTCTAAAAAGAAAAGATGGCACTTGTACACAAACAAAAGAAGAAGCAAATGCGCTGCTTCTGGAAACCCACTTCCCAGGATGTCAAATGGCGCCTGGCCTTGAGTGGTCGAATGAGCACCACAATGCACCAACAATCCAGGAATGGAACCTGGCAAAAACGATAGTAACGGCGGAAAGGATAGAATGGGCTATAAAAAGCTTTCAACCATTTAAGTCGGCAGGACTGGATGGCATCTTTCCGGCGCTACTACAATGGCAACTCGGCCAGGCAATTAAATACTTACAACCAATCTTTAAGGCCTGCTTGGCCTTCAAATATATACCGAAACCATGGAGGGAGGCAAAAGTAGTCTTCTTACCGAAACCGGGCAAAGACGATTACACACAAGCTAAATCCTTCAGACCAATTAGTCTAACCTCGTTCCTTTTGAAAACATTGGAAAGACTGGTAGACCGACACCTTAGGGATGGAGCACTTAGTAAGGTCCCGCTGCACCCTCAACAACACGCCTATAGAAAAGGCAGATCAACAGAGTCGGCACTGCATGCGGTGGTCCATAAAATAGAGTCGGCAATCACAAACAAAATGTCAAGATTGGCAGCTTTCATAGACATAGAAGGTGCTTTTGACAAAACGATGCACAACAGCATTAACCACGCCCTAAGAAAACTCAAGGTGGACCAAGTTACCAGGAGTTGGATCACCGAACTGGTCGGCAAAAGGGCGGTTCAGATAGTGGGGAATACTTCCACGCGTGCGAAGGTAGTAAGAGGATGTCCTCAAGGGGGAGTCCTATCACCACTTCTCTGGAACATAGTAGTAGACAGCCTCCTAAGGAGTCTGAATGATAGAGGATACACTACTATTGGTTATGCGGATGACCTAACAATTCTGATAAATGGGAACGCTGAAAACGTCCTGTGTAAAGTTATGCGTTCTGCCCTTCAGATTGTGGAAAAATGGTGTGACGAACATGATTTGTCAGTAAACCCGAATAAAACAGAGCTTGTCCTTTTCACCAACAAAAGGAAGCTGCCCGAACTACAGTTACCAAAACTGTTTAATACCAAACTCTCCCTATCAACACAAGTGAAATATCTGGGCGTAATCCTTGATAACAAATTGAACTGGGCGAGTCATATTGAATTTAAAACAAAGAAGGCCTGCATAGCTTTTAACCAGTGTAGAAGATTAGTTGGTAAGAAATGGGGTCTTAGTCCAAAGATCACTCTTTAGCTATACACATCAGTTATCAGGCCAGCAATAACCTACGGTTCAGTTGTTTGGTGGCCCAGGACCCAACTGACCACAGTGAAATCTAAACTCCAGTCTGCAGCGCTTGGCGAGCGTAGCAGCAACTGGATGCATGAGAACAACTCCATCTGCTGCATTAGAATACCTCTTGAACTTAAGACCTCTAGACCTGGTCATACAAGAAGAGGCAATAGCAGCAGCCTTGAGACTAAGATCTTTGGGCCTATGGAGATCAAACACTGTAACAACACACTCCAATGTTCTCCAAAGGTGCATGAAGGAGATTCCACTCTTGGAGGCACCTATGGATAGAATATTGGGTCAACACGTCTTTGATCGAAGGTACAACATCCAACTTACCGCGGAAAAGGTAGACTACTCTGGCGCCGGGGAAGTTAGGATATACATAGATGGCTCCAAAACCAACATTGGTACTGGAGCCGGTGTCTTCTCGAACGACCTAAATATAAAAATATTCACAACCTTAGACAAACTAAGCACAATCTTCCAGGCGGAATGTATTGGCATTACCAGAGCGGCACAGGCGGTTGCAGCCAGAGACATCAGAGAGTTCAACATTAAGATCATCTGTGACAGTGCATCCGTGCTTCAAGCCCTAAGTAGCAACACAATAAACTCTGTCCTGGTAATGGAGTGCCACAATGCACTTCAATCCATTGCGGTAACCAATACGGTAACTCTGCAATGGATAAAAGGACACAGCAACTCAATCGGAAACGACGCAGCAGACGAATTGGCTAAGAGAGGAGCAGACACAAAAGTGTATGGTCCGGAAATCTTCTGCCCATACCTCAGGCCCAAATTAAGACGTGGCTGCGTGAAAGAACTCAGAAACTACACTTGACTGAGTGGAAAACAGGTGAAGGATGCCTGCAAACGAAAAACGCAGTTCCGGAGGCAAACAAGAGACTTGCCCGCACCCTTACTAGACTTAATAGGGACAAACTCCGCATAGTTATGGGAACCCTGACTGGTCATTGTCCCCTGAACAAGCACCTATACACATTAGGAGTAACAGACAGCCCCCTATGCAGAGGATGTATGGAGGCAGAGGAAACGCCACAACATGTCATTATGGAATGCAGGAGTGTGGCCGATCAACGGGCACGACTTCTCCAGTCACCCGCATCGCTTCCGGAAGCTTGCAGCAGTCTGTCAAGACTGCTTGCCTTCTGGACTAACCTAGGCTGGCTGGAGTAAACGGGAATGTTTCAAGACCAGCACAATGGTCCAATGATTAGGACTAAGTGCGGAAACCGCCCTGAAAAACTAAACTAACTAGACTATGCTACCGCAGCCCTCACGGACCGCATCGAAATTCTTCTAGCCATTCTTAAGCTACAAGGCAGCACCATCTCTTCGCATTATAGGTTACCCTCAACATACATACTTTCACATTTAATGTGAAAGTTTGTATATTTGTTACATAATCACGCAAAAACGGCTGGACTGTGTAGGCCACACACAGTTAATTACTTGGATTGAAACAAAGGATACTTTTATCCTGAAATATTTTTAGGTTTCTGAGAGGTTCTCAAAATACTAAAGTCAACACAGAAGAAGTCACGGGCGGCCCGTAGTGTAGTATATATCAAACCTTTTTGGCTTTATATAAGTATTTTACATTTTGTTTTACTTCTAATGTCATTACTATTATAAAATTAAATCAGTGACCTTATTTTATTATAAAGTACACAACAAAACAAGCTAGGAAAATAAGCTCAGAAACTTTGATCTAAACATTTCACTATATAATATATGCATTAAACTAGGTACTACATTCAAAAATAAAAAAACTAAAAAACATTTCTCTGACAAGGTGACAGGCTGGATATGAACCGGGCCTTCAAATGTACTAATATCTGTTTTTCATAATCAAACAAAATTATGGCATTGGAAACTGTACTTGCCTGCAAAGTGAAAAATTAAACAGATTTGCAGCCTAAGAAATATAAGAAAAATTTCTTATTGTTTAAAAGAGTTTTATAGAATTAAGTTTGGTCATGACAGCATTAGCACATTATTACAAAACATTGGATGAAGTTTAACCAGGTCTAAATCTGATGCTGTCACCTTTAAAGCACCAATAGGTTTCATCCATAGTCCCATGTTTTGGAAAGAGATAGATAAGAATTCATTATATTCTTTTCAAATTGCTTCAACAGTTGTCAAACAATCACAGCTACTTAATACTTTTAAATAGTATATGTTGTTTTGTCACCTAATCTATTACTAATATTATAGTGTCTTTAATCTCTACAGTTTCTTCTTGTGTCAAAGCAAAAGAAGTAAGAATTCTTCTTTTATGAGTGTTCTACAAAAATTTCAACTCAACTTATCTCAAATTTTGATTAAAATATTAACTTACCAATAAGGCTAATAAATCTAAGGAATCATCAAAACACATTTGCAAATCAATTATTTCCCCTGAAACCTTACATTCACCAACTACTGATTGAGATTCTAGAGAATAAAATGTTATAGTCCCAGTCTGAAAAAAGAAACATAACATTAAATATCTGCACTTGAAGCAAGCAAGAAACTTACTTAAAAAAATGGTCATGATGTACATTACCTATGATAAAAGCTATCTCACCTTTGTTCCTATAATTAATATATTTTCGGATTCTTTTGTCAGCCACCAGACAACTGAAGTAGGTTTATATATATTAACAATAGGGAGAACTGTAACACTTGACAAAGACCATTTATGATCAAAGGTGTTTTGGGGTATAAAAAGGGGGAGAAAGGGAACAAGAAGTACTTTCTGGTCACTTAAAATAAGAAGCCAAGTTCCACTTGGTTCAAAGCTCATACAATGCACGGGATTGTCTTTAAAATCCCAATCATAATTCCTTTCAAATCTCTCTGTTTGTGCATCAATGTAAAAAAATATTAATTCTTTATCACTGGAAAATGCCAAAAATTTCTTTAGGCCCACTTCATAAAAACTATAAGCAGTAATGTCCAAATGAATCAATACATCTAATTTATAAAGTCCTGAGAAATCCAAACTGTCGCTTGATTGTGCCATGATTTTTCAATGGCGTTAGCTACTTTGCTTTGTCAATAAACTATGTTTATATAAGATTGTTGCTGTTTTTTACCATTGGCGCAAATAAATTGGTAAAAACAGCATTTTTCACCATTTCTAAACAAAACAAACTGACTTGACAGATAAACTGGAGCTGCAATGGTCCACAGACTACTTCTTCTTCTTCTTTTTAGAAAATGGCGGTGCACTTTTGTGGATTTCGCCAGACTCGCCACAGACTACTTAGATACTTGCAGTGGTTTCGAACGTCATTATCCGAAATCGGTAGAGCTGCCCACTAAATCAGTATATTTGTACCAAAATCGGTATATTATAAAAAAATGTGAAAAAAATACAGGTTGCTTTCCAATTACAGAGCATAATGCGACTGAGTGCCGCACAATGCCGAATTATGCTGATGCTTAATTGGAACGTGAATTAGTTTTCAAATGCACCAGCAGAGTGCGCTAAGTTCAGTGTTGAAAAAAAAGTCAATGTTTGTACCTTCATCCATATTTATATTTAATTTTTAACACAGTTTGAATTAACTTTGATTATTTAAAAAAAAACTATGATGAAACGATAGTTTTAATAATTTTTCAACAATAAATAATATTACTAACGATAACATATAAATAAAACATTTCGATCAATGCCAACTTAAAGAAAAAACACTTGTTAATTTTCTGTCTCTAAGTTGGTACGATTGCACGCATCACACGAAAGCATCACTTTTGAGAGTGCTCAATTGTGCGAAGCGTTGCTGTAGTTGGAACACTCAACGTTAAGCATAATGCCGCATAATGCGCTATATTGCTGTAATTGGAAAGCTACCACAATATTTAATTTTATTTCCAAAGAAAAACTTACAGATGAACTATAATGTTACTTTTTAACCGATTCCAAAAAAGTAGGCTCTCAATTCATTACTATATATATTTCGTAATGTTGTTTGCGTTTATTTCCGATAATCAATTGACTGTTGCATTCCTTTTTAATTTGTTGGGGTGTCTCACAGACAGATTATGTGTCTGTGGTTGTACTTCTCCTATCTTCGCGGGGAATCTTCTGGCGTCTGGCCATTTTAGATGTTTCGGGTGCGCATCTCGTTTACAAACGAGACGGTCGTTTGGGTAGCTACCCCCTCCGTTCTTCACACGTCGCCCTCAGCGCGGTCAAGCCCACCGGGTGAGACCCATGAGGGCGGCCCAGTGAGCGACCAGCAAGCAGGCGACAGACTTAGGGGACGGGTAGGTTCATATCTTGTTTTCTCGGACTGCCCGAACTTTTTGATAAAGTCCGCGAACAGTTCCGAGAATTGGAGCAATTTCTGTAAAGCGTTTTGCATGGATGGCGGCTGGTCCTGGGTTGTTGCATTTTCGGTGTTGGGTGGTGTGGCTGCGGGGGTGGCGTCAGTTGGCGGTTCGCTGCTTACTCGGCGGCGTTTAGGGCGGCTGGTGTGTGTGGGAGGAGCATTTGCGGGGGGCATTAGGGTGGTGGCGCATGCTCACTCACCTCGGCTAGCTGCTGGGGTGGTACGGCGGATGGGCGGCCTGTTCGGGCCACTGTTGTTGCATGCCTGTTGTGCGCCTCTCGGTGGTGGATCACGAACTGTGGTGGTGGATCACGAACTGTGGGCACGAACTATGGTTTGCAGGGTGCGCGCCCCTGCAGTTTACGCATGTCGCGGGTTGCTTGAGCGGGCGGGGGCAGTCGACCGCGGCGTATGGGTCACCGCAGCGCACGCAGGCAAGCGTGCGGTGGCAGCCTAGGCTTGAGTGGCGGTACCCCTGACAGCGGTGACACTGCGCGGGGGTCTTCCTCCCTCTCCAGGCTTCTATTTGGCTCCCAGGCATGTTGAGAAGCTCGCTTACCGAGTAAATGGCCGGGATGGTATCTTGTGTTCTCTTTATGGCAGCGAAATAAAGGCAGCCGGGGCGGCCTGCTCGCGCCCGGATCTGCTTGGCATACTTCATTTCGAAGCCCTTTGTAGCTAGGACCTCGGCGATGTCGTGTGGTTGTGTGTCCATTGGCAGCCCTCGGATGGCTACCTTGAGGCTGCGGTCTTCGTGGCGGGCGTGGGCGTACCAACTCAGTCCAGCCTGTCCCTCCAGTAAGCCTGGACGAGTCGGCCTTCGTCATTGTCAGGTGGTGTGAATCGTACGCCCGTACCAAACGGGCGCACGCTGGGAGATCGGCCGAGTTTCTGTGTAATCGCGCGCAGATGCTTCGGCCAGTCCTGTAGCTGCTCAACCACGATCGGCAGGTGTCTGCGGACTTGTGGGAGCGTGGGAGCGCTGCAGGAGGCCGGTTGCGCGGTCGGCACAGCGGTGGGTGAGGCGGCGGTCGGTTCGGTTTTTTCTTCTATGTCGGGGGTAGGTACAGAAACTTTTGCTACCTGGGCATAGCTTACCGACTGAGTCTGTGTCGGTAAAGCAAGCGATGCCTGTTTTTCTTGGGCTGCGGGGGCGGTTTCTTGCCTGGGCTGCAGGTTGTCCTGCTTCGGGGTTGTTACGTAGGTAGTGGTGTCGTCATGGTGACGGGGGAGTCACCGCAGCTGCGGGACCGGCAGAGGCACGGGTTACACGAGCGCCTGCGGGGTCGTCTCTCCTCCGTGTTAGGTGGCGTCTGATTGTAGATGGGTTTGAGCTCGATGTTGCGTGGCGGCGGGAAGGTGAGCGGCAGCTTGTTGGCTCTCCTGCTATCGTTGACGATAGGCCGGTCACCAAGGAGGTAGCTGTCGGTGGTGCTCTCATCCATCTCGAGGAGACGGACGTAGCACCAGATCCAATCCGCCAACCGCTCGGACAGCAGACCAGAGTCCAGGAGTCGGGCTGTTATCGCAGCGTCCAATTCATATTGGACGCGGTGCGACTTTAGCCCGAACACCACGGTGCCGTAGTGCGTCAGGTGATACGCGATGTCCGCGTCGGTCATCGGATTGGAGTCATCCATGCTGCAGATGTGGGGGGGCTACGCCTGTGGTGCGATGGATCCGTGCGCGGCGGCGTAGTTGCGGTCCCGTGGTTGTACTTAAAATATTATGCACTAGTTATACTCACTTCTGTAGCCAAGGGCAATTCGCCAAACAGAGTAGGAATTGTTCTAGAACCCAGTCTAGTGCGGGAACTACCAGCATCAAACAAGTGATTCTCAAAATGCTTTTAACATAGCACATACTGCATATATATAACATTTCATTTATATATATCATATAGTTAGGAATAGTCCTAGGTTAGGAATATAATAAAAAAAAAGAAACACTAGACGAGATCTACTCAATTTTATCCCTTGTATAACAATTATTACAACAATTACACTTATTTAATCACTAAGACACTTATTAAATTGTACACTTTACCATAATCACTATAGAATTAAGTAATAAATTATTAAAATTTAACCAGTAGACTACCTTAGAAATACAACTGTTCACGTCGTCAATAAATGTTTCCTTGCGTTTGAGTTTAAATAAAAGTGATGTATCATCCGCGAACAATACTATCTCATGGTTATCTCATACATAATAAGGAAAGTCATTAATATAAATTAAAAATAAGAAAGGGCCAAGGATTTAGCCCTGCGGAACACCCATCTTAACCGGCGAACCCAGAGACTTATTGCCATTAATATCAAACCCCTGAATCCTGTCCCTCTGGTATGATGCTCGCTCGTTTTTTTTTTATTACATCTTTAAAGTCAACATGTTTATGAAAATGACTAGTACAAGGTTTCACGTTTTGTTTGAAGATTGATTCGGCAATAATAAGGAAAGAGTTCAAAGATTTAGTAGTTGAAAGTGGAATATCAGTAAAGAAATTTTCGAATGCTGTGGCAACTTCAAACCTGATGTAACCGTTTTAGTATCAATTTTTAATTATTGCGAGTTTTGGATTTTCCACTTTCACTGTTTTTAATATTCCATATCATTATGATTTTGTCATTACTGTTTCTAAACTTTGAACTAAGTAATTTGATTTTGCTAAGCGGCATACTTCTTTAAACAATTTGGAATAGTTATGGTGCGTCACGATCACGACACGCCGCCGCGACACGTAAATATTTTTCTGACTTATGAAGGACGTTCCACATTCATTTCCATTTAAATTCTTCAGGAGTGCTAGTCCCAAAACTTCCTAATAATATTTTATTTTCCCCAACAGTTTCTTCAAGTAATTGTTTTCCCTAGAATTGTGAAAAAATCTGGTAATCTGGTAACACTAGTTCATGGTTTTTTTTTTAATTTATTGGCAATGGATACATTTTAATTATGCCTAGCTTATTACTAAGAACATGCAACTTAAAATATATATGTTAATTATTTACATTTTACAATTTTTCTACGGTTTAGTCCAGTGTTGTCAGACTGGGGTAATAATTCGGTAATTTGGCGGAAATGGTCCTGAATACATTTTGGTGTAATAGTTGGCGGAAGTAAATTGAACTTGACAATTATCAGTATGGATGGAGTAGCCTCAAAATAAAGTGTTATACCCTATTTTGAGGCAGTATTACAAAATAAAGTCAAGGTCTCCCGCAGTAGATTTACGAACCAATGGCATAGCGTTTGTCATTTACAAGAGCTTGTAACACTTTAGGCTGAAATGAGTTTGAATTGAATTGAAAAGAAATTCCTTTATATACTTACATAAATTAAAGAAACCCAATTTTAAACCTACCTAAAAAACTGGTTATTAACACAAACATTAAATATAAATTGATGTCGATTCTTGCATTATTCTCGAAACTTAAAACTAAATTTTACATCAATCTCTCCTTTTCATTCTGTATAGAGAATGACAAGGATACACTGTTGTCAAATTTAAGGGTACGGCCACAGTGCACGCTTCAGACTCAGAAAACAAGTGCGAGAAATAAACAGTGTAGTTTAAGCAGGGTGGCCTTAGTGGTAGCAGGCAACTGGTTGCCCGCGCAGGGTTTGGAGTCAGAGACTACCGGAATGTTTAGGTCATTCTTCTTTAAGATACTGAATTCATCAGCGCTGCTCGGACTGCAGGTTATAGTTGTTTATGTAACCTTTTTCTTGGTTGTGTTATAAACAAACATTTAGTGCCTTGCTTCTTGTTTGCGATCTTCTCTTGTTTCTTGATTTATATTTTAGAATTAACATAATGAATATAGAAGCGCTAATCGCGAAAGTTTTTCTTAACCCTGCTGTATGGGATAAAAGAGACAAAAACCATTTAAATACGAATATCCTTGATAGGTGCTGGAAAAACATCACTGGAGAAATGGGTGTTGAAGTTAAAGAAGTACTTTTTTCTGGTACTCTCATTTTTAATACAATTTATTATATTATATTCCAAAACGCGTATTATTGTATAGTAATAATTGTTACAGAAAGTATAGCATAAAATGTAAACATAAATTTAACAACAGGCAACACATACCTACAGATCTTTTTTAGATACCCAATCATTCCATGAAATTATTGCGTTTTTTTTTAAATATTATTAGCTTTAAATTGTTACGATCGCGCGTTTCGCGTTCGCGTCTTGTATTATCTGCCTTCACTGCGATCATCACCTGCTTTCTTTAAGCTGACATCTCATGAGCCTGTTTTCTGAGTGTGAACCTGATTTTGAACCAGCGTGCACTGTGGCCGTACCCTACGTTTAGGTTTAGAGAATAAGCCAGTTGATTCATGTCGAATTGTATTACAGAAATGTTTATTTCTTAAAGTATTTGGTCTAAGGAACCTAAATATATCGTTTTCACTTCATAAAAGCAGAATATTGCTGTAGAAATTTAATTTAAAAAAATAATTTTTAGTCTATACTTCTTAAATACTAAAAACGCTGTTCGCCACATCCGCCATGATTGTGACGTCTCTTTTAGTAAACAATTAAATGTCATTCATACATAACTTTAAAACTTGTATTAATAAAACTTATAATAAATGAAGAGACTTAAAATATTATTTAATGAGTACTTACAAGTTGCAGGATCACTTTTAGCAAGTTCTAACCAGGTAGGTTAATTTCTTTCGGCACTTTAATCCACAACTTTCCTGGAGTCTTGAAGGATGTGTTTTTACATTCTCGTACAATACAATAATGATAATTACTATATTTTTCGTGGTATCTGTTAGAAATCATGTTTTTTTGAAGTTATACTTAGGCGCGTTATGAAAAAATGATGAGAGTGAAATTTTAAGATGCGCGCGCCTAACTGTAACACAAAATTTTAACAGCAACTTCATGCGTTACTTTTGTGTTTACCGCACATTAAGAAAATCTACCAACAAAATAGAAATAGAATCTCTATTTAGTGGGTGCTAACGATTGCATTGTGAAGGCCTATCAAAAGTATTTATTAATCTGGAACAACGGAACCAAAGCGCGATTCAGGAGACTACAGCGCCATCTCTTGACCATTGGTGTAGTAGAACCAAAAACCACATCTTTATTTTTTGTAATAAAGTAACAGTTATAGGTATTCATATTTATAATATTTATCCACATGTTTCTAATTTGTATATTCGAAATACGTGTTTGAGTTTCATACAAGTGCAAATCACATATTATTATGTTCTAATAAATTATATTCAGTAGCGATTTTAATTGAATATTTTGATTATTTATTTATTTTTTCAAATTAAAACTGAACTTTATTGACTGTGTCCTTTTCCAGACTTTTTATTAATTTATTGTAATTAATTATTTGCATGCAATTAAAAACTAATTTTAAACGATGCCAAAGAAGGATAACTTCTCACGCGCCTACATAAGTACACGCACCCATTTTTTTTATTATAAACTCGGTTAGGTTATTTTCTACGTACTTACGAGTTTTTGCTTACTACCGTCAACGTCATAGCATAGATTATCTGTAGACTAAAATGGCCGACAGCATTTTTGTATGTCCATGAAAAGTCTATTTTAAAATTAAAGCTTTCTAGGTCCTAAAAAAATACAATACATTTTTTTCGTCTAATAGAACATTTATTAACCATTTAAAACCTTTTTCCAAAAAGGGTCAACTAGCCTATCATGTCAGAATCGACACCATTATACTTTTATATTACATAAATGGATTAATAATCACACGGTCACGTACACATACAGTGATGATTCGTGTTTGTTATCGTTTGTCCGGTCTCCAAATCGAAGCACTGCCTTTCATAATCCAGGAATTATCTATTATATTTTCATTTTACGTATTCAACTGCTGGATGTTTAAATCTAAAGAACATTTTACTAGAAAGAAATCCACTCGGTCGAATATTAAAAAATGGATGGAATGGAAACAAATTATAAAAAAAACAATATTTGACAAATTAAGATTTGGCGGTTTTTTCTAAAGAGGTATCATTTTAGTGTTAAAATAGTTTTGAGTCTGGCGTAAATTAGTAAATCAGTTCTGGCAACCTTGGTTTATTCCGTTTTCTTGTACCTGCCGGAAGTTTTGTTTTTAACATTTTTAACATAGAACTGTGCTAAGTTAAGCATAATTTACGATTGTGATGCTGATCTGCAGTAGTATCAATATTCGCCGGCATGATTTTATTTAGGTGTGTCAAACATAGTTATAAAAATAAATTGATTTAATTTCGAAGTGCGCAACGACATGGTATTTTTTTCATGTAAATTTTATTCTACGGCTAATATTAACTTTTTCAGACATGTCAGAAATAAAGCATAAATACCAAATTTTGGCTGCGATAGATCATTTACGTGCTCGTAAGTCGAGGCCAGACATTAACCGAATTTGTAAGTTTATGCTAAAGCGTTATAAAGTTTCTCCAAAGGACACAAAAGCAGACCTTAAACGTTGTCTCAAAGAAAAAAGTATATTTAAAGTTGACTACAAAGATAATGTAAGCTACAGGAACGCTGCGAAGTGGCGAAAAAAGACTAATCTGAATAGCAGTAAGTTTACATTTAGCTTTTTGTTACAGCAATGGGCTAAAAAGTTGCACGAGCTTGTAATCAATTACTACCCAATTGACTAAAATTTTAAGTTTTGTTACATATTTATGGACAGTAATTATATCACTTCAATAATCATCTTGCTAAGTATTACATTTTATTTTGTTAAAATACTAATTCTTAATTTAAAAATACTTCTTCATATTTTTACATATTTATGTTTTATGCTTTTACTTTCACCCTATTTCCTGCCCATAAATAACATATTTTATTTTATAATTTCAGAAATGGCATCAACTATTGCAACTAATGAAAGGAGGATAATAACTTCAGCTATTGCTACATTAATTTATCAAGATCAAAGTTATTTAGAAAATGGAATAGCATTTGAAGATCTTATTAAAGCTGCTGTATCTCAAGATTCTAAATTTACTAAAAAGCAACTGGAGACTATGGTGCATAAGGAACTTGTATCTGGTAGTCTAGTAAAATTACCAAATGGTAATTTGGCTCTTGGCCCTGCTGACCATGATGGGGATAGTTCAGACAGTTTTAAATTTGAATACAATGTCGACTCTAACACAAAGGTAAATTTTGTAATATTTACTTTGCTGATCTGAAACACAATTTGGAAACTTAGGGCAAAATGACACCTTTTAAGATATTCAAGTTCTATCAAATATTTTTCATTAAATTAATAAAATCTTTTTCGGTAATAAAGCCATTTAACTCTTTTCAGATTTTTTGTTTTTATTGTAAGTAAAAATAAGATTTAATGATATCTTTTGTAAATAACTAATTTAATTGTTGTAAAATACCATCCTGCTTTTTTTGTAGATGACATCATCTGCTAATTCATCATGTCGATCATCACCTCAGCGAATGAGAGGAAGACCAAAAAAAAGGGGTGGAGGATCAACAGGCCATGGGCCTACTAATAATAACACCCGAAATGCTGCAGTCAGAGTTGGTGAAAGACGTAAAATGGCAAAGAAAGTATTTGATCCTTCTGATAACAATGTACCAAGTAAGAGAAAAAGAGGAAGGCCTGTTGGTTCTCTGAACAAGAGCACAATTAAAAAAAGATTGCTTGGTGGAAACCAAAAACTAGACAAAGAAGGTACACCCATATCAGAAGGTCAGATGTCTCCTGATGGAAGTGGTGATGAAATTGAACATGAAGAGCCAATACCACATGAGACTTCAGGAGGTGTATGTTCAGTTTGTCTCATCCAAAAACCCAGGGGTTCAAATGACAGACTAGTGGAGTGTCGAGATTGTAACAATAAGGCTCATTTAAGTTGCCTACAGTCAGGATCTGGCATTTTAAAGCCTCGTCCAGATAACACTTGGCAGTGTCCTCACTGTAAGACTTGTGTTGTTTGTTGTGAAACAAATGATGCAGTAAGTATAAAATTTTAGTAAAACTTGCATTTCTAATATACCTCTATCCCATAAACGAGGAATAAGCTTAATCTAGTTACGCCATGTTTTGTTTATATCCCTCAAATGCCATTTTTTATTCAATGAATACATACAAAACATGGAGTAGCTAAGCCAAGCCTATTTTTTGTTTATTAGTAAGAGGGATACTGTATAATTGTCTACTGAATATGTCTTACATTGCTTACAATATGTATATATTCATTTATTTTAATACAATTTTTTCAGGGTATTTTAACAGTGTGCAGTATTTGTTCAGATTCATATCATGCACTTTGTCACATCCCTCGTATACCAGAGCGTTTGAAAGCTTGGGATCAGTGGGAATGTAACAATTGTTTGGAATCACGTCCTACAGTTGTAGGATCACCTGCTATAATTCCCAGTAGCATAGATTTTGAGAAGCAACACTCTCTTTCCATAGATCCATTTTTAAAACCTCATGAGCTAGATAGGGCTCCTTCGAAGTTGAAAGAGGAAGTACCTATTGACCCAAATATACCAGATATTACAAATTGGACTACTGATGAAGTGCATAATTACTTCATGGAAAATTATCCTGAGGTTGCCCCAATATTAAAAGAACAGGTAAATAAATAATAAACACAGCCCCATACTTTGCAAGCTAGTTCCAGAGTGAATACTGTAACTGAACCCTGCCTAGGACATAACAGCATTCATTAAGGCGCAATTACATTTGGTCGTTAGCCCGTATTCGAAAGATTTTTATATAGCTCGGTAGGCAAATGACTACCCCACCTAATGTTATACATTACATTACTCGATATTATTACTTTCGGGTACTGGAACCCGGGCAAACGACCCTGCACATGCGTTCTAGTTGGAATGTACCTCAGTGAAGCCAGATTGGGTTGAACCAAAACAAATACGTTTACCTTTTGTAGTTGTTTTTACCCTTAGTTGTTTGTCCGAATTCCATCATATTCAGGCTATCAACCAAATGTCAATGTGCCATTAGAAAGTACAAATTTCATTTACACGCAGGAAGTGGAGCAACCAAGCACAGGACCAAATAGGCAAAGAATAATTATGCTGGAAGCTTATTTTTTTTTAATTTAATTCATAGGAATATTAAGTATATTTTTTCTGTTTAAGGAATTTGATGGGCAAGCTTTGAGCATGGCTAGGAGAGCAGACATTGTACAAGGTCTAGGTCTACCCTTAGGCCCAGCATTATCTCTATATCGCATTGTCGTGAAACTTCAAACAAGAAAAGATGATTGGACAATGTGTTGGGGCTAAACAGTGTAATGTGATTGAAAATAAAATATTTGCATAAGTACTGAAGTATTTAATTGCCTTTAAATTACTAAACTTCACATGCGATTCTTCTTCTTCGGGATCTTAAATAGCAAAATTGCATGTTTCATTTAATGTTCAGTGTTACATTTTTCAAAAGAAAAATCACAAGATACACATAACAAAGAACTGAATATTGTTAATAGTTCATAAGCAACATGATGCTTCTTCTTCCTTTTTTTTGTTCTGTTGGCCACATGGCTCAGACAGATGCCATCTGTCATTAACTTTGCGTTTTCTTCCCCATTTGCTCAATAGGTGATCTTATAGCTGATCAGCAATTTCTTCCAGACAAACCAATGAGCGATAAATTATAGAAGAGATAATAATAATATATATGTGCAATACAAAGTAATACAGTTAAAAAAAAAACAAATTTAATTTATTGGGCTAAAAGTTCCCATGAGGCTGGCATCATATGACACTAGTCGGAAGTAAATGAAGCCTTAACAAAAATAGTTTGTGAATATAGTTATTTTATATTATGTTACCATTAGGTACATACTTTATTTGGGACATATTTAGTATATTAAAATCTATTTATGAACATGACTATCATTTATTTAATAAACAAATTACAAGTTACTGTTAAAGGTACATTAATATCACAACCACATTATGAAATAACTATTCAAAGTAAATTTTTTATTACCTCATTTATAGATTTTTAAGTTTTTTTAAACCAATTTTTCTAGCCTTGTGCAGTGCAGAGATCTGCGCTTGATACATGTACAAGTAATTTTTAATTGATTATAATATTTATTGTAAATAAGATAACATGCCTCCTTTTTAAAATTCTCTTGTTAATGAAATTCCATATTAAAACATAATAGTCAAAAGAAATACACAAATAGTTAAAAGCACTTTTTCTAATATTTACAATATATTTTTAAACTATTTACATTTGCAATTACAATAACCATGAATCTAAAAATAGGTACCTAAATAAATAAGTGAAAATATATCAAAGCTTTAAATATTGTCTTAGTGTTGGTCATAATGTTTCATATAAGATAAAAATATATTGAATATCATTGTGGCAAAGTTTATATAAAAAACTCTATATTCTGTAGGCAAGAAGTAGAAATTGACAAATTGTACTGGTGGCCAATATAAACAGTCTGCCTGAAAAAAATAAAATAAAATTTATTAACTTTAAAAACAAGTGAACACTATAGATTATAAATCTAATTCAATAGGGTCTTTCGTCGTTTCGGCCAGGTGATGGTTGGGCCGGCTGAAATGAACTATTTAAAATAATAATCTTTATTTATTACATAAAGTGATATGAGCATGTTTTGCCTTTTTAAAAACAACAGATTATTGATAAATGTTTTTTTTGTCAATTCTGCAAATAATATAAAATGTAAGATTTTTGGATCTATGTACAGTTAGTGGCAGAAACAATATTGTTTTTATATTTTTGACAAAATCAATGAACAAAAAAATTTTCTAAAACTATTTTGGCTCGTAGTTCCAACCATCACTGGCCAAACTGATGAAAGAGACCCATTCAATAGAATTAAAACTAAATTTGCCAGCAGCTATTCTTTGCATTCTTTAAACAGCATGATAAGGATAAACTACAAAAAAAAATGTTTTGAATATTATATAATATACTTAATATTCAAATTACTTACTGTATACACATATTTGAACTTATCCACTATTTCTAAGGTACTCTGTTTAAAGGACTTTGATTCTAAAATTCCCATTCCATAGAAGAAGCAAAGTATAGTAGCTGGTGATGCGAATAACTGATCACACATAATTTTTTTTATAGCAGTTTTTACATCAACTTTTGGGAGAACTTTATCTAAGTAAATATAATAATAATGATGCATTGGTCCCATCAAAGTTCCAACAATGAACATTCTTGCTGAAAAATAATAATAAATTACTTAGTGAGTATAAACTTCAGTTAAGTACTATTATTTGATAACAAAATTAGACTAGTGTATGTCTGATTAGTGCAAGGTTAATCTATATACAGTTAGTGTTAAGGATGAGCAAAAAAATATCAAGAATATGACAGAATGCCAGATATTTTAAACAGGGCAGTTTTTTTATACACAATGCAATCTCATGTTGCATTATGCTGTTTGCCTTAATTATTACAGTTCATAAGAGTGTAGTAGAGTCCTGCTGAGGTGCTGTCACCCTTTGGCACCCTATAATAACAATGTAACTATCTTGTTTAAGACAAGATTTTCCCATGGTGAACTCAGGAAACCATATAAACATGAACTATCAGAGGACAAGACAATACAACCTAATTTTACTTACACAAACGGCCCCAATCGTATCGTTTTAATTGAACATGAGACTGATATTCGAATTCTTGTTGGATAAGGTCACCAATAGCCATGAAGCCTCCAGAAGTTACACTATTGGTAACTAATAAATTCTTTTTAAAAAAAAAGTTCACCCCACGCCGAAATGTTGAATACTTTCTGTTACTCTTTAGGAGGTTGACACCTTTTTTCAATAGCGTAACTGGTACCAAAAACATAGTTTACTATAAAACGACGTAACTATATAGGTTATCTGCTCTTAAAAGTACTTTATCTATGAAAATTTACTCAAATATGAACAACGAACGCTTTTATTTCTTTTTACTGATAATCCTTGAATATTTTATCTTCTCTTCATACCACAATACCTATTCAAAATTTTACATAAATTCCGCCTTTCCTTTGACTTACTCGTTTAACAATGACGTTTATCAAGTTATAACAAACTCTCAATTTTTCTCAATAGATTGTGAATCTCAATTCAAGGACTTTAGGCTCAAAGTCATCTAAAGAAATTTGACAGTATTAGAAAAATTTTCAACGTTCTTTCTCCCTGTTCAGGGAAAGCAGAATGAACATTGCCCATACAGCCTAATTTTCAGTTTTATTAATCTTTTTTTTTCGAATGTAGGTGAGGCATATTCTTATGGTATTATAGTAATATATGTTATTTACGGGTAGAGATGGGCAGTGGGAAAAAACCCAGGGTATTTATGTGGGAAAAACCCAATAGACGGGTATTTTCATTAATTAACATAATTATCACGATATTAAAAAAAAAAAATTTTAGAACAAATGTAGCGATAAATAGGTACTTTGCAGTGGCGAAGCCTCCTTAGAACTAGAGATGGAAAAAACGGCTTATTTCTGAAAGCGTTTAAACGTTGTACTTTTTAAAATAAGCGCGCTTGAATTTGGGGAGGGGCGGCTGATGTGAGCCCAAGTGTACGTTGTTAGGCAATTCACGTCTACCGTCAAGTGTCACTCTTACGTCCACGTCGTTCACTCCGGTAATACTTGGATCTGCTAACAGGCAACCTACACTAACACCTACTCTGGGACCCTCGTAGCTGAATTTAGTGATGCTATCCCACTGATGCACTCCAACATCATGGGAGACACTTCCCGCGACCCGTACTCCCTTCTCTCCAACTCCAATTAATCGTTAACCCCTCCCTTATCCTGAATCCTGTCACTCGTTAAGGCCGACCCTAACAAAGGCCTTCGGCTCTACCGGGAAAATGGGAGGCGGCCCGGTAGACTATTAGCCTCTCCTGCGCTATGGCCTGCGCAGTTGAGCGCCGTAAGAGGGGATGAAGGAGTCCTGTAGGGTTGAGTGAAGCGAGGTCGGCGGTAGTACCTTCGCGACACAACACGCCCTCTTTGGTCCGGATTTCAACCGAAACGGTAGCCTCTTTGGGTAGCGCCAGAGAGGAAACGGTCACGCGTCCCGTCAGAGGGCCGCAGCGAGGAGTGGAGGGGCCCGGGGCGGCTTGCCACTCTGGATGGTTAGGGTCATGCTGACGAGGCAAGGGTGTGTGGAACAACTGGGGTACTCTGAACCGGTAACCCAGCCACACACTTCGAGCTTCCGATGTCGCACCTGACACCAACTCTCTGCTCCTATATCCAGTCGGTAATCCTAGTGCACCACTATGGGCACTCCCAAATGTGCGGGCTCCAAGGAACCTTCCTGACTGGATGAATTTTTAACACCACAAACAATGGACACTACCAGGTTCAACGTTCCGCCAACACCCGGTGGGAAACCAGAGGGTACTGCTGCTCGCTCGCAGACCGAGAAATCGGAATGCCAGCTTGAGAAAAGCAACACTACACCTCAGATTGAGGACTCATTGCAACTGCTAGAGCAGAACTGGACGGTCGTGGCCCGGAAAGGAGCGAGGAAGGTAGAGGAAACTCAGACCCCTGCATCATCCGGTCAGACCTCTAGGCGTTTGGAGAAGCAGAGGGAGCGGACGCGAAGGAGACGGCAGCTCAAACGGGCCTCCCGTTTGACGGCTTCTTCTAGCGACCGTATTGTCCAGTCGGAAGACAAGGGCTCTGGAACGCCAGGAGGAGCGAAAGGCAGCCAGCTGCCCAAGCAACCCCAGGTGATGCCGGGCCCGAGCTGGACCGCCCAAAGCCTAAGGGGAAAGGACCCGCGAAGACGAAGTCTGGGGCCAAGCGGGCTAGGCTCGATGAGACAGTGTCTCCTCGAGGCGAATCCAAACGGCCTAAGACGACGGCGACCGAGACCGCCCCAAAATCCTACGCGGCTGCAGCGGCCTCCTCGGCTCTCATCAGGTGCGCCGTCACGTCGAAGACCGGGTTTATCTCGAGACCGACGGCGGAGCAAATTGAGGAGAAGCTCGAGGAAGCCTTTTTACAGGCAGCGATGAGCACGGAACGTCCGGCCTGTATGAGGGAGGGTCTAGCATTTAGCGGGAAACCCCTCTACGCGGATGGGTGCCTTCGCTTCACTTGCACCAACACCGCAACGTTTGGGTGGTTCCGACAGGTGGTACGAGACCTCCACGACTCGGAGCTGGGAGAGCTTGTTGTCCTCCGCGACGACGAGATTCCCAAGAGAGTCCCGTGTGGTTTTGTGCTGCCTAAGCTCTGGAAACACGACCAGGCGTTGCTAGGCAAATGCCTACAGATCGGGAATCCAGACCTGACACCCGAACGTTGGCTGCTTAACGGCATCCAACAGCAGCCTACTATCGGGGCCACATTCGTTGTGGTTTCGATCCCTGAGGACGTTGTGCCTGCGATCCTGGCTAGGGGACGCCGACTCAGCTTTATGTTTGGGTCGGTGTACCTGAAGTTCAGGGACGCCAAGGGGAAGTACGTCGACACTCTGCCGACGTCCGACCCCTCAGCACCACTCGGGGCTAAAACCACGGCGAACGTTACACCAGCGCCCCCAACACCATCTAAATCTAGCGCTGGCCCCCGGACACCGTCGTTCCACGTGCCTTGTCACCGGCTGTCGAAGTTCCGGGACCCTCGCAGATGGCGTCTTCGCCGCTTAGTGAGGAGTGTCTCCTGGAGCTCGACGGGCTGGGGCTTGAGGACTTCGACTGCCAGGACGATGGCGTCCCTCTGCAGTAGTGCAAATATATTGCAAATAAATCTCCACCATAGCGTAACCGCTACGGTTCAGCTTCGGCGGTGGTTGGAGACCAACAACACAGCAGTCGCACTAATCCAGGAGCCGTGGATTAGGAGTGGCACGGTGCGAGGACTCTCCAGCAGAGGAGGTAAGCTCGTTCAAGCCACTACTAGCGACGTAAGGTCCTGCATATCCATTTCCAAAAACATCAGAACACAGCCCTTAATTAATTTCTGTTCTAGAGATCTCTGCGCTGTAAAACTGACCCTAAACCAAGATAATAACAGTTGTGACGTGATCATAGCCTCTGCATAATATATGCCTGACAGCGAGCGGGCTCCACCAGAAAAGTTGCGTCTCTGGTCCGCTTCTGTGCTCGGAAAAACGTAGAACTGATCATCGCGACAGACTCCAATGCCCATCACCCTGTGCCCCACACAAACTGGAACAAAGCAACAACAGAGGTAACCAATTATTTGAATTCCTCCTGACTACTAACCTAGAGTTAATCAATACAGGCAATGAACCTACCTTCGTAGGCAGACGGTGCAAGACCATCATAGACCTGACCCTCGCGACACCAAAAACGGCAACAGCTATATCTGGCTGGCATGTCTCCGATGAGGCATCATGCTCAGATCACCGCTGGATCCGCTTTACACTACAGGTAGGAACTCTATCTCCTACACCCCAAAGGTATCCTCGGAAAACTGATAAACACCGCTACGCACAACTACTGGCGGACCTTCTAAGAAACAACTCCGGTAAGGGCAGAATTGAAACCACGGAGCAGCTAGAACAACAGGTAAAACACTTGACAGACAGCATAACGCGTTGCTACGAAGAGGCCTGTCCTCTTAGACTCCCGAACTCGAGAGTATCCGGAAAACACCACAGGTGGGGGGCGGAGCTCGGGAGATTGAGAGGAAAGGTGAGGAAGTGCCTTAACAGAGCAATGAATATCTGCAACGATACAGACTGGGACAACTACAAAGCTACTAAAGCTAAGTACAAAAAACGTATCAGATACTGGAGAACAGCCTCCTGAAGGAACTTCACCGAGGAGATAAGCTCCACCAACCAGGCAAACCGGGTAAGGAAATTGCTGGCCAAGCAAGGCCCTGGCGTGCTGGGAAGCCTGCGTCGACCTGACGGCACATTGTCCCACAATCGTGCTGACTGCGACGCTATCCTCTTAGAAACCCACTTTCCGGACTGCCAGCTTACAGAGCAGGTGACTTGGCAAGATGAACCTCCAAGTACAACAGAAGGATGCTGGAGACTAGCAGAGACGGTAATTACGCCTGAGGGAGTAAAGTGGGCTATTAACTGCTTTGCGCCTTTCAAATCTGCTGGCTCTGACGGCATCTTTCCAGCACTACTACAATGGGGCGGACAGGACGTGGTCGATGCGGCTACTCGTATACTAAGATCACGTCTGGCTCATCGGTACACTCCACATCTGTGGAGGGAGGTCAAGGTAGTATTCATACCCAAACCGGGTAAAACCGACTATACTAACCCTAAATCCTTCAGGCCCATTAGCCTGTGGCGGCGACATCTATATGCCCCACATATATATATACAACGGATGGAGGAAATCATTACTCACCATCCTCAAGAGATGGCGTTACCTGCACTGCGATTATAATAGTATGGAAGCCTACATCGCGCAAATGAAATTCGGAGGCTAACTCTTCATATATACGATGCCCGACCAACATCAGTCGGGCCGCGGCCCCCGAGCTAACATCACCCAGCTCGGAGGAAGATCTTCCCCTTTGGCCTTCCTACACTGGTGACCCTCGACCGAGCACAGCAGCAGCAAGAAGCAACCTTCTACCATCGCAGCGCAGCCATCAATCCTCATACCCCTTCCTCATCAGGTCAAGCAACATCAGCAGCCACACAGCAAGCCAGCATCAGCCTCAAGGTTCCATCGCAGCTCTCAACGACGCTTCCTGGACCTTCGGCAGCACTCGACGGCATCATCCCGACCTGGTCTCCGCAGCCCACGACCGGTACCTCACTTGTCGGCCGCAAGCACACCGGCGTGGCAGCCCTGCACACCAGCAGCTCGGACCCACCGTCACACTCCACCTGTCTCGACTCACCGTAGACTGGAGCAACTCTGCAGCACTGGCGACGCGCCTTCACCCCACCCGTCTCGACTCACCGCAGACTGGGGCATCCTGCAGCACACTGGCACTTGCAAGCTCTGACGCACTGACTGCTGAAATACACTGACCATCGACCTCCGGTCTCGGAGGGGAGTGATGTGGCGGCGACATCTATATGCCCCACATATATATATACAACGGATGGAGGAAATCATTACTCACCATCCTCAAGAGATGGCGTTACCTGCACTGCGATTATAATAGTATGGAAGCCTACATCGCGCAAATGAAATTCGGAGGCTAACTCTTCATATATACGATGCCCGACCAACATCAGTCGGGCCGC